ATCCCATTAGGCCTCTGTGATGCATGGCTAATGGCATATGTAGTTGCATGACAGCTGGAAGAGCCTAAGTTTGCCTACCTCTGTCCTACACCATTGTAATGATGTGCTTTAAGTTGGTCCAAAGTACAGCTGAAAGTTATGATTGATTTGGCATTCATATTTTATGTGATTGCCGTTTAATAATTTCATGATTTATATTTTATATATAGATTATAAGTTTTCTCTGTAGAGGTTGGCTATGCGTCTACCAAGTGTAATTTGCATCATTGCTGAAGGGCTGCATAAAAAAGTGATTCAGCTAGTCTCAGTTGACGAATCACCTTCCACTAATAAAAATAAATAAATATGGCTGCCTCATGAGTACAGTATATAATTACAAATTAATACAGTATATAAACACAAACGATACACTGAAGTAGCATTTCAAATAAAACATACTAATTTAATGAAAATATTGAGTAGTGTTCAGTTCCATGGAGAGATTCACATTGTGTATTGGGTGGTGGAAATCCCTTGCAAATGAATGCCAAAGCTAGATATTGCCAGTGATATCCTGGGAATAATAAAGAAGAGTTAAACAAAAGCACGGTGAATCCCTTTTTATCTTATACTAATTCAACAGTCGTGTTGACTGTAAGGGCTTTCACTGTCAGATATGGTCAGTGACCTGCACCTCTGTCAGAGCCTGAGACCTAAATATAAAAGGCAACCAACATTTTTGCAGCCCTTGGTGATGTGTTAAAACTTAGAACAACTAGCTGATTGTCCCAGCTTGGGAGATTTGGGGTGTCGGAACAGGAAGTCAAGGGAAATCCCCCTCAGTGTTCTGTATGGGATTTTTGTCTGAACAAGATATGAAGGGAATTATCGGTGAAGACACTATATATGATCAGGAAAATGTTCTCTACCAGTCAGACAGCATATAACTGAGTTGAAATGTAACCAGTTCAGACATGGTGTTGAATTTAATTTCCCCTCCCCCTTTTTCTCCCCCCTCAATATACACACAAAATGTGACTTAGAAGTCTACATACTTATTGTATATCCAATGACTAAGGAAATGCATAAATTAGCACAGTACTCTGTCCACATAACTGAAGCACTGGGAAAATATATATTTATATTTGGACCACTGGCTTTTAAAATAATGCCTTCTCCTGGACATAATTCCCTCTGCCCCATAAAATTTCACTGTCAAAATCTCAGACATCCAATATAAAATATTACTTATTTAAGGTAATCTTTTCTCTGTCTACTCTCTAAAGCAGATCCTTTTAATGTGATCATTATAACATTGTTAATAAATTACCGCCTTTTACCTGGGGCGTGGTAAATAAAGAATTATTCCATATGTCCAACTTGTATGTCTCTTTCAGCAGACCACTTAATCATTCTGCAATTCTGTCCCAAATCCTCTAAAGACTGCCAGACAGAGGCTACCCTGTCACTGCAAGGGTTAAGTGCTCATTTTAGTTTAGGGATGAAAATGGTTATACCAACCTGAACCTTGGAGCCAGCTGGCTGTTAGACCGGTTCCTGGAGCCTCTCTCCCCCTTACTCCAATGTTCTAAGGTCATGTGACTCATCACATCCTATACAGTGTTTAGGACGTGGGGACTCTGGAGCAGAGGCGGAGACTGGCTGCAGGGACTGGACTAACAGCCTGCTGGGAGGTTCCGGTCAGTATAACTTTTTTTATTTTAATCCCCAAGACAAAAATGAGCACTTCACCCCTGCAGTGCAGGTGGAGCCCCACTGTAAGGGTTAAGAATAATTCTGCCCGGAGTTCTTTTTTAACCTTTCTACACTAAAATATTTTTTTGGGGACAAAGAGGCCAACATTTCAAACAGTGCGGATTGCTGCCACCTTTCTACTCACAATATTTTGCAGTAGAAATGTAGGCTCAAATTATTTGGCTAAATCTTCCAAATCGAGGAAGGCAATCCTCCTTTTCTTATTGTGGCGATCTTGTTTACATTAGGGGGACAACCTTTTTACCTCACAAGTGGGAGCCGGGAATGGTAGTAAAACCTGACGGGTTCTAATCCTTCCCTACTCTTTACAAAACGACTATAGATAAGATTTAAAAAGTATTTCCATTCTTGCAGCCAATTTTGAAATAACACTTAGTTGATATTTGTCCTATTCACATAGCATAACTTGGAAAATATTAAAGCGCAGCTTACTTTTTTTTTTAGATACTCTTTCTGGCAACTCCGGGACTGACAAATCTTGCTTGGTTCTCATTGTCTGAGGGAACTGGGGGGGTTCTGTTTCAAGCAATTAACCCTGTCTGTACTGAGCTAGCAGATTTCATTATCACTTGTGAGTGGGACTGTCCTAGTAAAGAGTTAAAGAACTCTAAGCATTGTATATTCATTTAAATAGAAATGTCCCTCAGTCTGTCCTTTATCTTTTCACTGCAATCTATTATAAACCATTAGACAATGCTTATAGAGTCCTATGTATAATCCTGCTCCAGACAAATAACTATAAAGGTAAAATATTTTTTTACATTATTTTTAGATGTGTAAACAAATCTATAGTAGGCAGTTCTCAAATTTGACTGCAAAAGTGAAAATACATTTTTAAGCATATCCCTTCTGGCCATATACAAAGCAGTTGTACCTTTCCTTGAATACAATGTTGTATAAGATGTTGGGTCACATGGCATTCACGGTTGGTGCCGTATATGCTTGGTTATAGGACTGTTTAGTTTGGCAGGAGGGCAATAAACGTAATGCAAAAATCACACTTTTATTTTTCAATACTTGGCTTTAAAATTAAAAGTACATCTGTTTTATATACAGTAGTGACAACATTCCCCATAGACAGTGAAGTATTTTTTATCTCTTACTCCACAGGTCTGTGAGAAGCCAGGGGAACTGCTGCTGTGCGAGGCCCAGTGTTGTGGAGCATTTCACTTGCACTGCCTTGGACTGAGTGGCATGCCTCGGGGAAAGTTCATCTGTAGTGAGTGCTCTTCAGGTATGTGAAAGTATTGTCCTGCAGCATTAGGAAAAGCAAGCTTGTGTTTCCCACCTTTGTTCCATCTTTGTACAGTATGTCACAAAATACATGGAACAGTATACTACATGACCATAGATGGTATAAGTGAGAACCATTAATAGTTGTAAGATGAAAGGTTCGATATAAGCCAGTTCACCAAATTATTAGCAATCCACCAAATTACAAATATGGTATCAACTTTAACTACTTGCAGACGGCTGCTTCTTGGATGCAGCATGCAGTGTGTAATATATATATATACACAGTGTATAGCATTTCACGTTAATGGAAACCTTAACATGGCTTACAGCTGGTGACTGCTGTTACATACAAGTGTTCAGGCGGCTATAGAACTACCCAATCGCTTGTATGGTGTGGAAAGTGGGCTTCTTTGGGGTCCCTATGTGACACTAGGGGTCTACTGGATTCCTGATGTTGCATATCACCTCGACCATCATAGTGTGAGCAATAATTCTAGGGCTATCAGTCACTGGTAACACTAAAGTGATGAGCGGTAAAAATCTTTTAAAGCATCACCTATGGCCAATATTCTGACTCAGATTGTTGTGTTAGCGATTTATCCCTTGCTGAGACCTCTATGCCCTGCCTGTATACGCAGATATAATCACTGCGTACAATCCTTTTCAGATAGCTGAACTCACCAATACCTTTTCATCCACAAAATGCTTTATTGCATACAGCAAGTTACAGCAGACAACAGGATACAGCAGATGGAATGAACAGACGGTATTTGAAGGTCAAGGATGATAATGTTTCCGAGCTAGCATGTACATGAGGTCCAGGCTATAGGCAGCCATGACACTAAACGACTAGTTCTTGAAGGGGAAATGCATCATTGATGGGAGGGAATAAACAAAATGCCCACAAGATGGCAGTAATTAAACGGCTACTAATGGTACTGAACAAATGGCTTAAAGGAGAACTATGGGGTCAGGGCTTTTCCCCATAGTTCTCCTAAGTGTAACGGGAGGACACAAACTAGTGTCCTCCCATCACCCTAAGCTCAGTATACCGCAAGCTACAGCTCGCGGTATACTGAGACGCCGCATTATACCACGAGCTACAGCTCGTATACTGAGACGCCGCAACTGAAACGGATCCCGACAATTATGTCTGGATCCGCCCAGCTGCGTGAGTGACAGCTGGCTCTGCCTATCTAGAGGCAGAGCCAGCTGTAGCCGCCCCCTGTAGCCGCCCCCCCGTTTCGCCAGTCAGCGCTGGAGTAGCGGGGAGGGGGGAATCCAGTCCCTCCCCTGTCACGGCTGTCTGCAAACTCTATAAATTCTCACTTCAAATTAATATGAATATTAAATGTGGCTATCCATTGTCATATTTTTATGCAATTGTGACAGCACAGCCAATTTTGGGTATGATATTTTTTTGCGATTTGGTGGGCACGTGCAGTTTTAAGGCTTGTCATGTTTGGTGTCTATTTACACAACTTGACTCCATCTTTCATATTTCATACAAAGCAAAATGTGTAGTAATAAAAGTTTGCGAACGCAACCTAGGAAAACCGTTTTTTGGGGGGTTTTTTTCCCCAAAATGTTCGGTACTGCTCTATGTAGTAAAAAAAAATAGAAACCCCAGTGGTGATTAAATACCACCAAAAGAAAGCTCTATCTGTCCTAAAAAAAAAAAGTGATATAAAATGAATTTTGTTACGGCGTTGCATGACTGAATAAATGTCAAAGTACCGCAGCGCTAAATACTGAAAAATGGCCTGGACAGGAAGGGTGTATTACCGCCTTTTTGAGTGGTCAATCAATATTTTGTCAATGTTTATTTTTGCTACCTTACATTTGTGTTTTTTTTTTGTTCTAGGTGTCCATTCATGCTTTGTGTGCAAGACCTCTGATTCAGAGGTGAAACGCTGCTCTCTAGCTCTGTGTGGGAAGTATTATCATGAGAACTGTGCTTTCAATTATCCTCCCACCTTACAGCTGAATAAAGGCTTCCGCTGTTCCCTGCATGTCTGCACCACCTGCCATGCCAACAATCCCAGCCATCCCTCAGCTTCTAAAGGTGAGTCAGGGCAAAATTTGTTGCTGAGAGTTTAAAAAGTGCTTCCAGAAAAATAACCAGTAACTTTAACTAGTTAAAAACTCCCCAGTTAAGGGCCCAGGCACACCATATTCAGTCACACCACGTGGATCGCATAGATGATGCCGGGCTGCATTCTGGGGCCGGAGGCGGCTTGGCGGAGCCATTCATGGCAATGGCACCGCAGGCATTCCCCGCCACCCACAGTACGATCGGCCACATCCGAGTGCGAGTTACAGGAATGCCTTCCGTTCCATTGCAGTGCGATCGGAAAAAATGCTGCCTGCAGTATTTTTTCCGATCACACTGCACTGGAAACGGAGGGCATTCCTGTACCTTGCATTCCAGTGTGGGTGATCACACTGCGGGTGGGGGGGCGTGTCTGTGGTGCCATTGACATGAATGGCTCCGCCGCGTCCCCTCCCGCCCCAGAACGTGGCCCGGCCTCTTCTATGCGATCCAGTGCATTACGGGCTCGTCAGCGCCGGACCACGCTGAATATGGTGTGACTGGGCCCTGAAAGCCAAGTTGTGCTCTAATATAAGAGGAGATAGGAGCTCCTGCATAAATGACCCTAAAACAGTGTTTGTAGGCTTCATTGTACATTGTAACAGTAGTTGGTGTATTTTGTTTAGTGCATATATGCAGATCAGGGGCTTATCCTTTGATGTGCACATAATGTTCATTCTCCCCTTCATATTATGGTTGCACAACTCAAAAACCATTAAATTTCCACAAACTCGAAATAAATTCCATGTAAAAGTTAATTTTGTTTATTATATCCACTTCACATAGAAAGCATGTGCAACACTTATAGAAGATTAATCCACAGATACTAATCACCATAGTAATAGCAAAGCCTAGCTATCCAAATATAATCCATTGTATGTTGGGATGCACCGTAACCAATACTAGTATCCGTATCGATACCAAGTATTTGGGAGGGTACTCGTACTCGCCTAAATGCTCTCATATACTTACCCCCCATACTGGAAATTCCGGTCAGAGGAAGATTTCCTCTGACCGGCAGTGGTGCGAGCGAACATTGAGCCAGCTTACTGGCCAATCAGGAAGCCGGGAGGTGAGTATTGACTCGCCGCCCGGCTTCCTAATTGGCCAGGAAGCCAGCTCCATGCTAGCAGAAGTATCGGTGCTCTGTATCGGCAAGTACCAAAATATAATTATCGGTACTTGATGCCGAAAAACCGGTGTTGGTACAGCCTTTAATTCTGTGCCACTCCCCCGTGTTTGTAGAAGGGAAACTGCCTGAAAGTGGAAGTGTCTGCAGATAAATGAACTAAAAATGTGATACAGATGGCCAGTTCTCTACATCCGATCTGTAGCCATGTTGGTCACCGTTTTGAGTATGCTTGGGTGAAGTCAAGCAAACTGGGTTCACGCCAAGCCCAAGCTTACAGCCTGTCCCCTCGATTTGCATATTTACTTGTCAGAAAAGCAAACCTCACACTGCCAGATCCACGGCGGCTGGATCGGCTACAATCGTTCAAGAAATGTAGTATATCCAAACAGTGAATGTAATAATATATTCGTTTGTTTTGAAAACGGCCATATAATATTCCATTTGTGAATGACAAATTACGAAATTCAAACATATATATAATTTGATGAAGCACAGCGTCCCTGAAGTACAGTGTATATACAATAACTTTGGCTAGAAATACAACGCACAGCTCACCTCTGTCATGCATCCTTGTAATCCACATTTGGTGCATGGATGACCCTCTTCTGGAGTGATGGTCTAAAAAACTGCAAAACCAGCACACGATGCTCTTCCAAAGAAAATCAAACTTTATTCCACATGCATCTATACAAAGAACAACCGCTTAATAAACTTTTGCTCCCTTTTGGTCTGTTAATTATGCAATTGAAAGCTTTTTGCCATATGTTGATAAATGGGAAACAAAAAATACCTGTTTATCCAGCCAGACATTCTTGGGAGTAGATACTTCTTTTAATATATGGTTCTTATAACTTCATAACTATTTGTTCTGTTTGAGAAACTGAAAATGTGTGCTGATCTTTATCATTGTAAATATTATATAATTTAGCAATCTCTCTGGAAAAAAGGGTCTGAACTTTCTATCAATGTCTGAGACTTCCTTTCTGTACACCTCGTGTTTAACCCTTTCGCTGCCGCCGCCGTAAGGCATGCGGCGGAACATAAGTGTTCCCACCTGGCCAGCTTAGTATGCCTTACGTCGGTGGCATTTACAGTTCTGCTATAAGCTCATGGTCGCTCAAGCGACCATGAGCTTATAGCAGAACTGTTCCCCAGACTGTCCCCTTCAAATTAATAGCTGTCATCAGCGGCTCACAAGCGGCTGATGACCGCTATTAGCAAAAATTCCCGGGCATCCCCGCTGCTGTCCCCCGCTTTGTAGGGTCTGTGGCAGCGGAAAAAAGCACAACCCCTCCCTCCCCTCACATAACATACACACGTTGTTGGAACGCATCGCAGTGCATGATTTTTTTTCTTTTAAAAAAAGCATTAAATTTACTGTGGCAGCGCATGGCAAAGTTTTCTAACGCATTGCCATGCGTTGTGATACCTTGTTTTGCAATGAAATATCAGGCCCCGTTCACATGTAGCGACTTATCGCCGCGATATCGCGCATTTTTGCCGTGCGATATCGCGCATTTTTGCCGTGCGATATCGCGAGAAGTCACTGGCTAATGATAGTCAATGGAGCTGTCTTAGCTCCATGTCGCTCGTCGCGGTCGCAAGTCGCTTCTACCTTTTTTCGGCGGATTTTGCTTTTTTTTTTTTCTCTGGAGCCCGACGGAGAAGGTCGCTGGAACTTCGCCCCGAAAGTCACGCTATCCCAGCCGCTGCAAAGGTATGTCGCTACATGTAAACGGGGCCTAAGTCTATCATTTTATCACAACACAAATGCCAACACTGCGTAAAAACAATTTTTTAAGTCGCTTATTTACAGTTTTGCGTACCTTCATTTTTTTAACCTTTTCACAAAAAGGTGCAAATATTTATTTATTAATACAGTTTTATGTTTTAGATTTAGTCAGAATTTTTTTATTTTTTTTTGTGCACGGATACTGATTTTTGTGTGTTTTATCAATTGAATTGTGTATTTTTATCGGGTTTAATATTAATTTGAGAAACATTTGCGCAATTATCGCAGGGCCTACAAATTTATTAGCACCATCTTTTTATTCTTCCTGGCCTGCGCTATCAGAAAATATATGGTTTGGGGGGTCTTTTACAAACGCTGGCAACGCAGCAGTTGAAAATCAAATCAATGAGAAAAATTGCAAAAATGGTGTTGCCAGCTGATTTGAAAAATGTTCCGGAGGCCTTGGCAGCGAAAGGGTTAACTGTAATAAAGACTACGTTTATTTTGATACACTGAATGTTTTTTTATTACAGGTCGATTGATGAGATGCGCCCGTTGCCCGGTTGCCTATCATGCCAATGATTTCTGTGTGGCAGCAGGAACGGTTACCCTTGCTTCTAACAGCATTATTTGCCCTAACCACTTTACTCCACGTAGAGGATGCAAAAACCACGAGCATATCAATGTTAGCTGGTGCTTTGTGTGCTCTGAGGGTAAGACAATCATCATGTCTTTTGCAATATTTGTGAAATATAGATTCTCATCAGGTAGGATTTTATTATTGTCTTATTGGTACAATCCAAAAATTGCAGGCCAGCCCTATGGGGTATAACCGCTTACACGACCAGCATGCTTCAGTTGCTACTGTTCTTAGGGATGTCTTATCAGCACTGCCTTTTAAAATCAGCAGCTGCTGGTTATTTTCTGTAGCAGGCCTCGTTAGTAAATTTTTCCCAATCAATCCCTTATTTTGGGTCTGTATTGATATTTTTTTTTTTCCCCATTAATTCTGGTCTGGAGGGCTTTTTTTTTGGTTGCTGGTTTTGAGACCTATTACCAAGGAAGGCTCTAAGTTGAATTAACTTCAACTATCCATTAACTAGTAGTTGTTACCAGGAGAAGATGTTTTCCTTGGTAATAGTCCATTTTTAAGACAGGTAGTTCTGAGCTCTCGGCATTGAGACTCCAGAATATGTTATTATCCCTCATTATTCTGTACAAAATGAAGGGATATTTGGTTGTTACAAATCTCTTGCCTTTACATTAGGTGGAAGTCTCCTTTGTTGTGAATCTTGTCCAGCTGCTTTTCATCGTGAGTGTCTTAACATCGAAATGCCAGAGGGAAATTGGTTCTGCAATGACTGTAAAGCTGGCAAAAAACCTCATTATAAGGAAGTGGTGTGGGTGAAGGTTGGGAGATACAGGTAAATAAACAGACTCTGTGGGGAACACTCCAAACCATTGTTTTTATTTATCATGAAGTGATAGTGGTTAGTGAAGTGGTTTGGTGACTGAATGTTTTGTTCTTTCTCAGATGGTGGCCAGCTGAGGTTTGTAATCCGAAGAGCATTCCTACAAACATCCAAAAGATGAAGCATGATATTGGAGAGTTTCCCGTTTTGTTTTTCGGGTCAAAGGACTATTTGTGGACCCACCAGGCTAGAGTCTTTCCATATATGGAAGGAGATGCCCTCAACAAAGATAAAATGAGCAAAGGAGTGGATGCTGTCTACAAAAAGGGTATTTCAGACAATTTCTCATTGTTTTGTAGAAAATTCTAACTCCTGGTACGTTCATTTCCTTCTAATAAATGTAATTTTATTTAGGGCTAATGGAAGCTGCAGAGAGGTTTGAAGAACTGAAAGCACAGAAAGAAATGAGACAGCTGCAAGAGGAAAAGAAAAATGACAAAAAGCCTCCACCCTATAAGCACATTAAAGTAAGTCCTCTTCTTTTAATGTATTTTGAGTATCCCAAAGTATTCTTATTGAAACTTACAGTACCCTGAAGAATGAGGCCTGCTTATTGGAAGATTGGCACTACGTGTTTATTGATCCAATGTCTAATACAGGAACAATAGCATAAAGATATTTTTTTTTTTTTCTAACTAAATATGAGAGCTTCCATGGCTGACAGTACACTATGAACCACCCAGCTGGAAGAAACATTTGCCGTGCCCTAATTCAGTATGTGTTGGAGGTGGAACCCATAGTTTGCATCAAAGCGAGAATGATGGAGGTACGGAAGCAAGTGATGTCTCCTTTAAGTGAACCTATCACTTTCATTGTGCTATCACATATATCGGCCTCCTTGTGATAGCAATCAATAAAGCCCCCTGCTCCACATACACAAGACGGGTGCGCCTGTGTACAATAACAGTGATTGCACCACACATTAGGTATCGCCTCTTAGCAAGCAATATTTCTAGAGCCATGGGCAACTGCTCCAGATTCTGTCTGCTCCAGACTTGATAAATTCCCCCCAGTGTATTTTAGCATAAAAATACTGGTTTGATAAACATTTGCGCAAATACCGTGCAACATAATCAATTGCAACTAGCTGTTTTTCATTCTACAAGGCCTCTGCTTTCAGAGAATATATAATTGTTTAGGGGTTTAAGCTGCTCTCTAGCCAAAAGTTCTGGTGTGTGTGTTGCTCCAGACAGCAAGTGGTTAAAAGCCTGTACACATCATTAACTCTAAATTGATAACATGTACAGGCTTTTAAAGCATGGACCATGGACAATTTGGGGTATTACAGTACATGTTTAGTATCTAGTTATCATTTATATTTCTCTCCCGTTCATTGAAGGACACAGGGCAACAGATCGTAGATCCTGTATGGTAGGGTAATATCGCCACCTGCAGGAGAAGGACGCTAGGCACAAAACTAAAGACCAATTACAGCCTAGGGGCGGCCACCGCGGCTGATGCTGCTCCCTTGGGCGGCCGCTACTCGAGGCCCCGTTCTGGATGCGGCCTCCGGGCGCCGTCCTGGTTGTCTCGGTCTGTTCCTCAATGTCCCTGGCTTGGTGGGGCAGGGAGACCTGGTGGGGCCGTGGAGCCTTCTTTGCTGGGTGCTGGACCCTGAGATGGAGGAGGGCTGGTTTGGGGACAGTGTCGCTGGAGAAAAAAACTGTTTGTGGGCACTAAAATTTATTGAGTGTTTTTTAATAAACATGCGAGTTTGATAAACAGGGTAATATCGTGTGACATTAAAAAAATGGCAAATGCCACAATTTTGTTTTACATGGTATCTGCTGTCAGAAAATGTTTTGAGGGTTTTACGTAATCTTCAGGCCTAAAATCTGCAAACAATTCCTTTCCTGGCGTTTTCTGGGTCAATGTCTAGCCTTGTCTCACTGCCCAAGGAGCAGAGAACAATGGTGGAGGAGGTGTAAATAAGAGGGAGGGATAAGTGATTTAAGAGGGGAGAAACTCTGCTACAGACACAGTTCTCTCTGGCGTTTTCGTCCGATATTCGTAAGGTTGATGGGCAGTGTACAACTGCAAATACTGTACAACCGCAAATACTGTACAATCGATCGACTTTTAACTAACCAGCAGGTTAGAAAACTTTGTTCGACCGTACGATTTTCGCAAGGTTGGTGGCAAAATTCTGCACATGCGCAGACGAAAATACGTGCGGTCGATTACCACAATTCGTCCAGGTGATTTCTTGTAATTACTGCTGATCCAACCGTGCGATAATCTGGGCAGGATGGGGCCGCCATATGAAAATCGTACGCCGGTTCAATCATCGGACGAAAAATGTCCTCCCATGATCGCAAGGTGTATGGGCAGCTTTAGGAGGGAAGTTGTTATCTAGTAAATGTTAACAGCTGATTCTTCTCTGATGGGCTACTCTGACTGTGCGGACTCTGCCTCCTTCTCAGGCATGAGCACATAAAGGTGTCCAATATCCTGTGTACTCAGCTCCTGAGAAGAGATCAGCAGCATCTGTGACAGCAGAGAGAGAGGACTCATCAGAAGACATCTCCTCATAGCTCTGTGTGTGCTGCAGAGGAATGATTTCCTCCACATGTTGTAAAGGTGCCCATACACCTGCCGATTATCGTACGATAATCGTGGGTGGTCCTGCAATTGTACGATAATCGGCAGGTGTATGGAAGGCGTGCATCCGTTTCTACTGTAAGGTTGCACTTCTTTTGTCTTCCGAGCAGGCTTGAAAACCTGACAAATCATACACTGCTGATCAGCATTGGAATCCCTCCCCTCAGCCGGGAGGGCTTGCGATGATCGCAAGTACGACCTGTCTGTCCAAGATGGGCAGATCGTATGAGATTTTAATTACCTTACAACCATCGCACAACGAAAGTCGTGCGATGGTTGTAAGGTGTATGGGCACCTTTTAGGGCCCAGTAACACCATACCCAGTGAGGTTTGTGCCGAAATGCGCTAAATCGCATAGATCAAGCCGGGCAGCGTTCTGGGGCCGGAGGGGTAAACGATTACGCCATACATGTTCCATATCACCACGGACGTCAAGAGTGCAAGGAATAATTCTAGGACCATTAATCACTGATGACACTAAACTGATGAGCAGTAAATGCTTTTAAAGAGTTGCCTATGGCCAATTTTAGGTATGGTAGTTTTTTGCGGGCGCAAGCAATTTTAAAGCTTGACATGTTTGGTGTCTATTTACCCGACGTGACCCCCGTCTCTTATATTTTACCAAAAAAATGGGTACTAATAAATGTTTTATAACATTTTTATTTTCAGTACATTTTTCTTTATATAGTAAAAAAATAAAAACACCAGTGGGGATTAAATACCACCAAAAGAGACCGCTATCTGTCCCCAAAAATACAGCGTTGCATGACAGAATAAATGTCAAACTACTGCAGCACTGAACACTGAAAAATGGCCTGGACAGGAAGGGGGTTTAACACCCACTCCGGTCATCAAGTAGTTAATGATTGGAGGGAGGGAAACTTGTGCACGAGGGAAGGAAAGCATTGTGGGAAAATGTTTTTCCATGCCCTACATTGTAATTTTCACTGCACAGCAGCCTGTAATGTGCACAGACAGCCATTTAAAAAAAAAAACCCAGCAATGTGGGGCCTGAGAGGACAACTAAAAAAAAGTAAGTTTTTGTGTTTTATATACAGCAGCTGCATATGCCTGCTTCATGTATACATGGTGTACATTGCTGTCATATGTGTTTGGGTTTTTTTTTAATGCCTCTGCAAAGGTGGAAATGGGCTTTAAGTACAAAGGTATAAAAGTGAAAGTTTGCTCAGAACAGGTGTTTTTAGCCATTGCCGAGAGGCGCTGGAGGATTTTTGTATCCAAAGATCATTCAACCAGAAGAATATTCAACAGAATAACCAAGGAACATTCAATGTTGCCCTATTCCCAACACTGCTTATAAGTTTGCACTGAACAAATGTGCAGTTTGACTGGACAAATAGCTACGCAATTATATATTTTTTTTTATAAATGGCTCCCTTAAAGTAGAACTCGAGCAGAAGAAATCTTAACCCTTGCAGTGGGGCTGACCAGAGTTCTTCTTTAAAGTTGAGTTCTCTTACACATATCGGAACAACAAAAATGTTACCTTTTAGGTTATGCCAAGTCCCTCAAATGTGCTGTGTTAGTGGACCCTTGGATTTTTAACTTGGTACATTCTTGTTGGCAGGTAAACAGGCCAATTGGGAAGGTTCAGATCTTAACAGCTGATTTGTCAGAAATCCCTCGTTGCAACTGCAAGGAAACAGATGATCACCCATGTGGGCAGGACTCTGAATGCATTAACCGCATGCTGCTATATGAATGCCATCCTTCAGTTTGCCCAGCTGGCGAACACTGCCAGAATCAGGCCTTCTCCAAACGTCAGTACCCACAAGTGGAGATCTTCCGAACTCTGAGCCGGGGCTGGGGATTACACTGCAAAACCGATATAAAAAAGGTGAGTTTGTTTTTTCTTCCGGCTGTTGGTGTTGAAGATACTTCGGTTTATTAAAGCTTAATTTTATTTTGCTTATAGTTTGCCTTCCCTGGTTCTTCCTTTCCCCCCTCATTAACATTCTAATAAAATTGTCAAATAAAACCTTTGTTGACATCATTGGGTCTCTATACAATGCAGAAAAGTCATAGCTGGTGGGAGGGGCTGGCAGAGTGACATATAGTTGCTTGAAAACAGGAGTGCGCCTCCATGGGCTATGGAAGAACGAACTAGCTAATGTTGGACGTCCTCCAGCAATGAAATGAGGCAAGATCTTTCTGACTTGCTGCAGCTTCTAATGCACATTGCGAGAAGCTCACAGTGTGCAGTGAAATCAGAGTAAGCTATTTCAGTACGGGAGAGGACCCTTTACAGCTGTACAAGATGCAAGGTAATGCTGTAGTTTAGCTTTAATGGGGCAGTAGCGTTACAGCCCTCCATATTTAGTACGAGGAGGATTCATAAAATGCTCAAGATGATGTTCATTGTTCTTTAAATCTCTGAGCAAATGTAACATTTCAGGGGGCATGTGTTCTTTTGTTTTTAAATGTTCTCTTGTCCCGAGGCTTGTGTGATGGCTTATTGTGTTTTGAGATAAAATGATCAGCTGGACTAATCCCACTCTGTATAATTTTGTTTCTTTTTTTAGGGTGAATTTGTTAATGAATATGTGGGCGAGATGATTGATGAAGAGGAATGTCGAGCTCGCATCCGCTATGCTCAGGAACATGATATCATAAATTTCTACATGCTAACTCTAGACAAGGTAATGTTTGCAATTGGGAAGGTTGCCCTTGTTCTCCCTATTACAGTTTAAGTGGTTTGAATTGATTACATTCCACTGTAATACATTATGTAGAACTGTGCTGTCAACCAGGACCTCATCCAGGTCAGGAGGCTGGTTTACACTTTTTTATTAAAGCATGTCTAAACCAAAAATTTAATATATTACAGCTTACCAGTCCCTAGAAGTAGTGGCTGTATTATTTGGGGTTTTTTTCCTCTATCGTCCATTGAGGGACATAGCTCTTAAGAATTCTGAGACGTAGGGTTATGCTCTTGTCTCGAGGAGAAATGGACACTAGGCAAACAAAGCTAAAAGCATTCCACTTTAAGGACATAACCCTCCCACCTCACAGTACCAGTTGTAGCAAGCAGTATGGAAGGAAAAGAGAGGGGTGGGCGCGCGCATGTCCCTCAATGGACTCCTAAAAAGGATTTTATAGTAAGAACCAAATCCTATTCTCTCTATCCTCCATTGAGGGACGCAGCTCTGAAGAATTCTGAGGTATAAGGATGTTCAAAAGCAATCCAAAACAGAGTGGCAGGCACCATAAAAACTAGAAGAGCCAGCTCAAGTACTCAAAAAGCTGCCTGAAGAACGTTTCTGCCAAGACTAGCATCAAAAGAGGCAGAAACAACTGTGAACAGAAGACCTATTGCGGCCTTGCAATTTGAGTAACAAGCTTTATTCTGAGATGCCCAAGAAGTACTAACTGCCCTATAAGAATGAGCAGGAACGGGAAAAGGAGGAGCCTTATCCCACAACTCATTAGCTTGAATGTCAACTTGACGAATCCCCTTAGAAATAATGGCTCTAGAAGCTGAACAACCTTTTCTAGGATCTTCAGGTAGAACAAATAAAGAATCCGAACGCCTTAAGGGAGCTGTGACTGACAAACTATACCAGCCTGCACAACATCCAAACAATGAAGATAAATTTCCTTAGGATGAACAATAGCTGGACAAAAAAAAAAAATCTAATGCAGCCTCCACATCTAAAGAATGGTACGCTGCAGTATAATACATTTTTGGTCTTGGGTTTGAATATTGAATTTGAATATTTTTCAAGCGAGGTTCTACATTAACACATCGATGTAGTTTTATGGAATTTGATCTTTTATACACTGGCCATTGTTTACTGTAGGGGCATGCATAAAAGTCTGTTTTGTTTTTTTTGTGCGCATGGAATGTTTACTATGTGTATACCATGTTCTAGGACCGTATCATTGATGCTGGGCCAAAGGGAAATTTTGCACGCTTCATGAACCACTGCTGCCAGCCAAACTGCGAGACTCAAAAATGGACCGTTAATGGTGACACTCGAGTGGGACTTTTTGCCTTGTGTGACATTAAAGCTGGTAAGAAAACGCAATTTTACATAGCAATTTTGTCAGTGGAAATCCAGATACTACCTCTTGTCAGTGATCCCTAAATACTTTTGCCCGTATAATAAAAAGCAAAAAGTTAATTTTACAGGAGAAGCTAAAGGGTGATGCAGTATTTGCCTTGCCCCACCACCAGATTGCCCCAGAAATACAGAGAACATTAAACTGAACGTATAACCCCCCTCATTCTTCTTTTGCCTAGTGGTAGCTATTCACCACCTCTTGAGTGCTTTTGCATGGCTTGGATGGTGTTTTCTGTAATGCAATCGTATTACTTTATAGATAGATTAACAGATTCTGGACTGATGCTTGTTAATGACTTGCTGCATGTACGTTACCAAAACATACTCTTGGAAATTAAAGCTGGACTCCAGATTTGCCTTTGGCCTGGCATAGTATTACGGACTCCTTTCCTGTAGTGAAATTGCTTACTCTGATTTCATGTAAGTGTCTGTTCTGTGTACATTAGAAGCTGCAGAAAGTCAGAGCCAATCTACTCTCTTGGCTAAAGGACACTCAGCTCTTTGCGCCCCAGCTTTGATGTTCCTGGATTCACTTTTTCTGTCCTTAACTTTTTTGCTGCCAGCGCCATATGCTATACAGCGCTGTCTTTCAGCCCCTGTGAACAATCTGTTTTACCTGTGTAAAACCAACTGTCTTAACTTACACTGGAAGCACTTCTGGCAGCTTCTCAGCTGCCAGATCGCTTCAACGGGCCAGTAAACTGAGCCCACATTGCTCAGTTTACTGGCCCTTGCTTCCAGTGCTTCACTGCCCCTCCAGTGGGACCACGTAGGAGGCTTGTCAGCAAGTAATTGAGCAATTTAGCAATTTAAGTTTTAAAAAGAGAAGAACCTTTTTCCAAAACATTTTTTCTTTTATTTTCAAATTCAAACACATACAATGCTTTTACAATGTGATCACGTACATAGCATCCAGTGTAATCTTATAACATCCTATATTCGTGAGTATACAATATGTTAATATAATATAAAATTATCGACAATAGAATCATTATTCTTCTGAGCCCGACCTTTAGTGATTGAAAGACCATTACTACACCCCGCCCCCCCCCCAATATCCTGGTCTGATACCGTACCCACGTCCACTATCTTAGTACTCTATAGCCCTACACTTTAGACCTCCACTCCTCTCCTGCCTTATGTATTCCGGAAAGTATAAACTAAATTGGGCACGCTATACGTTGACCCTGTAGACAGATTGACCTGATATCTGATGTTAACTGGTATACTTTTGCTGGTCGAATATTGCGCTGGCAGTATACCTAAATGGAGATAAAAATGTCTCTTTTTCTGTGTGCGTATAAACTATATTGATGAATGGCATCCATCTATCGTAGAATAAGGTAGTTTTCTTGTTGTTTGACAATTGCAATTCTGCATCTAGCTTTTCTAAATGGAGTATGTGCATGAGGTCTGATCGTTTCGGGTGTTTTTTTTTGTTATTTAAAGTTTCGTTTTTTTAAAGTCCCCTGTTCCTGCAAACGTGTGCATACTAACGCAGTGCCTCCTATGGACAATTTAGGGTAATATATTGTTTTCACCCCTGTTTCACAGGCGCACGCAGTTTTGAAGCTTGGCATGGGTATTTATTTACTTGGCGAACCTCATCTTTTATATTTTACAAAAAAATGGGTATTATATAGTGTTTTTGTGCACCAAAATCAACAAGTTTATTTTTTACTGAAATCTTGGCTTGATAAAGTGTTGCGCTAATATTATGTGACATAAACATTTGCAACTATTATAAACCTTTATTTCTACTCTTCCGAAATGATATCCCAACCCTTTTAAACATACATGTGTAACTCTATATAGCATTTTATAATAATATTTTAGATGCAGAGTACGCACTTTTGGAGCTCCCTCATTACAGAATGGGTACCTCGTGGACAATTTTCATTAGCATGCTGATTTGGGGAGAAAGGGGGAGGGGGTGGGAGAAGGAAGGTAAAAAATAATCAGAATAAAATTTAGCTTTACTTTTGACTAGACTTCAGCATTAACTGTGTGCTGGGAAACCAAGGTTTCCTGTTACTATAGCGATCTGTCACACACTTGTGTACTATTCTTGTAAGGAATGCTCTTTATCAATAAAGTTCTTAGGAAAAACAAAGGCATGGTGTGCTAATATAAGAATCTGTTTTTCCTAAAACGCCAGATCAGCTCACGTACATGTGGGAATAGTGAGAAAAATAAAAAGTGCAACTAATGAAACAGTAAATGTTCTTTTATGTAATCCTTTTCTTTTATGTTTTTAGGAACAGAATTAACATTCAACTATAACTTGGAGTGTCTCGGAAATGGAAAGACAGTGTGTAAATGTGGTGCACCAAACTGCAGTGGTTTTCTAGGAGTCAGGCCTAAGGTGTGTGTGTGTTGTTTTTTTAAATAGTTAAAGTACAGAAAGGAAATGTAACACTGTGTGCATCACCTCCAGTGAGTTCTGCAACATGTCAAATCTGTCACTCAGATGCCTGTCAAATTTGCTCCTTTTTTTTGCTTTTTTACATCTTCTACCTGTCATATTTGCTGTGTTTGTTTTATTTTTTGTTTAATACCCCTTTTTCATGTTTCCTCACTCTGCTGCACAGTATAGTTAAATTGATAACTGTTTTGATAAGTCGTGTAACTAGCTGTATAAAAGTAGGGGCAGTTTATGGCCAGTTAAGTTACTCAGTAGGGGAATAGCACATGAGTTAAATACAGGCAGTCCCCGAATTACGGACGTCCGACTTACGGACAATCCGTACTTTCGAACCAGGGTCCACAGTTCTCCTAAATGTACCAGCGGCTGCCGCAGGGACATTTAGGAGAACTGTGGCTGCAGCTGCCTGTGTCCCTTTAAATCCCCGCTTCTCTCCCCGTCTGTGTTGGCGGGGACACAGACCGATGCGTACCTCCGCTGCTGTCCCGGCCTCCTCCTTCCCCTGGTCCATCGGCTTCTCTTCCCCGCCGCCCTGCCTCTTTTTCATCTGCAGGCTGGGAGCCATACCCAGCCTGCTATTGGATATTGTAAAATGCAATAGCCAAAAGCAAGCTGGCTATTGCACCCGCCCACTGCCTGCTGTCAATCAGCATGGGAGGACCTGATGGAGAACTTTCTCCTTCAGGCCCCTCCTCTGCTGATTGACAACAGGCAGTGGGCATCCAGTTTGTTGTGTCATGTTAATGCAGTTATTAGAATTTTGTTAATGTAAAGTTTTTCTCTGGTTGCAGTTATAGGCCCTCCAGCTATGTATCTTTTCTGTAATGCTTTACTATACTGACAAAAGCTGACTGACTTGCCTCTTTCCTTATATATTAAGAACCAGCCAGTGTCTGAAGACCGGGCCAGGAGGAAGTATGTGAAGCGAACAAAGAATGAGGTGGTAAAGGAGCATGAAGATGAATGTTTTAGCTGTGGAGATGGAGGACAGCTTGTTTCATGCAAAAAAACAGGTTGCCCCAAGGTTTATCATGCTGACTGCTTAAGTTTAACACGTAGACCTGCTGGTAAGTAAACATTGCTGAGAGGTACAATACTAATGCTTGTATATAAACACTTGCCTCTGATCATTTAAGCTACTTCTCTATACAGGATTGTCAGTGGTTATGCTGTGTGAGATGGTGGACAGTCATAATACATCAACGTTGTGGTGACATTGTTACTGTGTTTCACCTAGGCTGGTGGACAGCAGAGATGTGGGTCAGACCCAGCAGCTCCTCTCCCTACAGGCTTCCGGCAGAAAACTACAGTGGGTCCAGATACAAAACCAGTCACCCTGCACAAGGAGAGAGGGCAGCAGTGGCCAGTCTTTATTGCAGGAAAGCCCTGCACAGAGGCAAAGTGCAGGAGTTGTTTCATGCTGGATTACTGTACAGATCTGGTAAAAATACAAAAAGGACACCAAGATTCAAGTAAGAATACACAGGCCTGTTGTGCTTGGATAATATTTGACAAATTTCAGGTGACTGAGTTACCCATGTAGTTCTAAATGATAGGGTATGTTCTGAAAGGCTTTTGAGCTGAGGAAGGAATTTGGATGTGTGGTGAAACATCTTAGAGAGCACCCAGTTGAATGTGACCAGCTACTACTATCTATATTCTGGTATATAAATAGCATAAGTTTTTTCCTTTAAAATTGTCTCACACAAGCAAAATGATAATTATTGTTCCTGGAAATATTTTATATCTTGCACTCTTTTTTGTTTTTTTTTGTGTTTGGCAGCCTAAATCTGCTCCATCTATAGTTTAAGCACCCATGACCATTTAGTTTTTTCTTGAACTTGATTTAGCTAGGACAGGTGCATTAAGCTTTGTTTATCAGTTAGATCAACACAGACTCAATGCAACAACACTAAGAGAACAATTGTTCTCTCTATGCTGTGTTCACAAGTGCGTTGCATAATTATGCATTGCATCACATAACACATTACAAGACATAGCAACGCATCAAAACTTGAGAATAGAGTTGAATGAATTAGGGTTCGTTCTGCTAACTTTCATGAAGGTAAAATAAATGTGAAAAAAATTACAATGCATGACACTGCGGGTGTTATATGCATCATAATGCACACCCACTGGTGTGAACAGGCCCTTAGGCAAACAAAACTTTTTTTGTACTCTTGAACTGGTATATGACATTTTTTTTTTCTTTGTCTTTTTGTTATTTAGGAAAGTGGGAATGTCCATGGCATCAGTGTGACATTTGTAACAAGGAGGCAGCTTCCTTCTGTGAGATGTGCCCCAGCTCCTTTTGCAAAATTCACCGTGAGGGAATGCTCTTCATCTCCAAGCTTGATGGAAGATTATCCTGCACTGAGCATGACCCATGTGGGCCTAATCCTTTGGAGCCAGGTGAAGTTCGTGAGCCAGACTCCTCTTCTAGCAGAAAGAGTGATCCGATCCAGCCACCTTCTGCCACAAAAGCTGCAGCGGACAGTCCCAAGGAGAAGTCTCCTTCGTCAATCGACAAGAAAAGCAAACTAACGAAAGTGTTGCTGAGTCCGTCTTTAACTGGTCCTCAAGAATCTCTATTCCTGGCTCTAGGGGAAAATGCAAAGCCTACTGGAAAGGTTTTAGTTGGGTGTTCAGATAAAATGTCTTTGTCTGCTGGCAAAATACTTTTGACCACTGCAGGGCAGAAGTCTTCCACTGGTAGAAAGTTGATTCTGGCCTCCACTGCACAGAAGTCATTGCCTCCTGGAAAGGTGTTGTTGGCATCTTTGGGGAAGAAATCTCTAACTACTGGGAAGCTTTTGTTGGCCTCTATAGGAAACAAAAGTCTATCTTCTGGGAAGGTACTGCTAACCCCTGTTGGAAAGAACTCTTCACCAGTTGGTCGAGTGCTGCTATCTTCTACAGGAAAACATGCAGGGAAAGTTATGTTGGCTTCAGCTGGAAAGCTAACAGCAGAGGCGGGGAAGGTGCTCTTGACTGCTTCTGTAAAACACCAGGCTGTTACAGGGAAACCTGTTTTAGTTGATGGAAAAGTTCTAGCTGGCAAATCTGATCATGTAAAAGAAGGCAAGCTTGAGTCACAATCTAGCAGTGCACCTCAACCTCGTAGGACACCACCCCTTGATACCTCTGTAGATAAATGTAATGCTCCTTTGAAGAAAAAATTTACTCTAATCACACTTAAACAGCCAAAACATCCCTGCCAAAAAGTGACCATTGATTTAACGAAAGAGAGGCCTGGACATGTTAATCATCACAATGGCTCAAATGGCAAAGCGCAGTCTAAGACTTCTTCCCAGAGATCACACAACCATACATCTCAGGAGGAACCAAGCACCCCTGAAGGAACATTGTCTATGGCAAAAACAGGAGATAGATCTGAGAGCTCAGAGCACCTGAAGAAACCTGTAAATTGTTCACAAACATCAGCCACTACTTCTAAAGACCAAACTAGGATCGCCAAAGAGGGGCCTCATTCTGTATCTGGTAAAACTTCCATGCCAGCACCCTACAACAGCTCAGAAGAGAAATCTTTGCCATCTATAGACTGCATCAATGAAACATCTCTCTCTGATCAAGAAGAGGCAGGTGTTTCTGGTGAGCAGAAACTTGCTACAAAGTGCAAGGTGCAAAACCCTTCTAACGCCTCACAAGGTCTTGTGTGCTCTGCACCTGAAAACCAGTGACATGTAGAAATTCAAATTGAACTTGTGCCTCATCATGTATTGAAAAAGTGCAAAGCATTGTGTGGACTTAGCTGCCATGACTGTATAGAAAATAGATGCAGTGTAATTCCACTGTGAACACAGCATGCAGACTGTTACATTTTGATTTGCTTTTAGCTGATGATATTTTGCAGATCGACTTGGTCAATTTCATTACTGAGGGTGAACTGCTCAAGTCTCGTCACTAATTAAGGATTAACGTGTTCCTGAAATGACTAGGACAACTGTTTTGTCCTTTTTAAGAGGCCGTGGCCTATTAAAACAGCAATAAGGCACTTCTGGCAATGTTTTGCGTCTACAAACAATAGTCTGGAGCTTGGCAGCAGAGAAATAGAGAGGTGCCTTATTACAATGATATGTAGTATTTTAAACTGAGGATTTTTAGGAAACTTTTAAAGTCAGTGGACCTCAAAATTGGATGTGTGTTCTTTGGGTGAGGAGTTCCATTGGTGCTTAGTAGTATTGGTCTCTTCTTGATCTGTCACTGCATGCCTGCTTTTCTCACTATAAAAATCAGATCTTTTGTAATGTATACTTTACTGTTAATGCTTATTTACACTTATTTGGGTTTATTGAAGTATGCTACTGCAGTATTAAGCATTAACATGAGCCCTGCTATTGAACCAGGCAGATCCCTTAATGCAGCCTTGTAACAAAGGTTGCTAAAGTTCTAAGAGATACACTTTAAACTAGTAGTGAGCAATACATGGGGTAATAGACACTATATCCTGGCTAATTGGGTTTTTAATTAGCCCTAGACAATTCTTATATTTCAGTTATGGAAGAATGTTGGCGACTTGACTCCCACCACTGTTTTTTCTTGTGTTTATGGTGCTTCTAATATGTACACTGCAGTTCATGACTTTGCTGCCCACCCCCAGTCATTACAAAGCTAAGCACATGAGTCTTGCTGCTTTTGCCTGCATATTCTGCAGTGAAGATCAGCAGTTAGAATGAGACCCTTTGCGATGGTTGGAGTAAGTGGGTGGAGCTTAGCAGGCAGGATCTTGCCACAGAGAAACCATTGGGTAGGTATTCTGAAACAAGGTGTGGTAACCTTTTACTGGAAGGATAATCTTTCAGTTTTACATTTTGCAGGTCCGTCTTTGTAGCTACGCATTGACCTAAATCCTTTGTTTTGGAGTGACGTCCAGCTCCATGCATTTTTTTTTCTCTCCCATCATTACATTTAAGTAAGGTATACACTTTGTGACAGATTTAAAGCAGGCCGGTGATGCTAAGTCAATGGATATCTTAAGGCTGTTGGTAAGAGACCATATGACATGTTTAAAGATTGCTTGGGCAGTTGTCTAGGGAAACGAGAAATAACTTGAGCATTCATTCACAGGCATTTTTGGCTGTAGCCAATGACTGGGCCTCCCCCAGTTCAACGTGCACACTGTGCCGTGTCAACCTCCTTTCTGCACATTAAGCTTACATCTGCCTTTGTTGAATCTGAGCAATGTCAAGCTGGGAACCATGGTGCTATTGGCAGCTGTGCTTCGTGTTTTTACTGTATTGTTTTCAAACTTTCTTGTGAGTCATGGTGTTGGTGTTTGTACCAGTGCCTCAATTAACTATTTACAATTTTAAACCCTTTTACATGCATGAACGACAGGATTCTTTTTATTTTAATTTTTTTTTTCATTTATTTGCATTGTTCAGAAGATGCTCCATTTTTTGTTTCTACCCATTCACATGTCCACCTCTTGCCACAGCAGAGCTGTTAGATAAGCTATAACCACTTATCACTGTTCAGTCATATGGGTGGTGTGGATTCCCTTCATTCAGTGTGTGTATGTGTGTGCTTTGCTGTGTGTAGGCAGTTATCTTGTCTTAGTCTGAGAGCATGTCAATGGTTTGAGATTGGAGTCTTGTCAAGTTACTCGGAGAATTCTGGTGTGAAATCATTACTTCTGTGAAGTCAGCTTGAAGTTTATAGAAAAACAAAAGTCTCGTAGCTATGCTTATTGCAGCTTTTTAGTTTGCCATCTTTTAACATGCAGCAAAAGTTGTGACATTTACGCATAAAAAGAGACCCCTTATGGGGGTTAACTTTATAGAGATGAGTATATGTAGCTCTTGGCAGAAAAGTTTTGTTGACTTGTCATTAATACTGCTGAGCAATCCTGCAGTTATGCTATACAACCAGATACCACACATCCAGGCACTGAAGGCATTCCACGCTCCGTGCCATCTGCTTATTCCAGTCTGTATTCCGCATACCCTATTTGACTTCAGAGATAGACACGCACAAGGACTGAACTCTTGAACTAACCTTTTCAGTGTACCACCATGTCCATCACTCCACATTCACTGGTGCTACCCATGTCTGAAGATAAGTTCCTTGTTGACCACCTACTCCATCGTGCTGTGTAAAAGGAAGTGGAGTACAGCTGACTGGATATGGGATACAATTCTGTCGATTTTGCTAGGATGGCAGCATGTAGGACCTAAACTATTTTCACACTTATATATTTTTTTTTTGTGCCCTTTTTCTTTTCTGTGTAACTAGGTTCTTGCATTTCCTGTCACTAGTGGAAGGTGGTCATGCCCCTTCTCTGAATATGTACTGTAATTCTTTGTAAATAGAAGAAAACACAATACTGTAAAATTTAAATTTACTCCTGCCTCCCTGTTTGTACTGATTTGTGGTTTTATGTTGGTCAGCTGAAGAAAATGGATTATAATTACAGCCTGCGGCAGGTAATCCATATGCAAGAACACATATATCTCATTACACTACAGTATCTACACTTTAAAGGAATGTTCCAATTTCAAATAAACAGTGGAAAACACCTTTCTGTCCTCTAAGTGTCCAACAGGGAAGACTCCATTCAAATTCCCATTTTGCTATCTCGGTACTGATATGGTCCTGCAGTAGATTACTGCTAGCTGGGAGTCTGTATGAATTGGGGGATGGGGTTTAAAGCACATTTGGTCTTTTAGGCAGAATTTAGTCCATGGTTTTTCATGCTTGCATGTGTTTACATTTGTTTAGGAAAGTAGAAAGCGGCTTTTATTAGTAATATAGCTAAGTAAACTAACTTTTTGTTAAATCTTTTAATACTGCTCTAAATGTATCAGTCATTTTTCAAACACCTATGGGTATAAGCCCCTGAGGGCATTGATGTGGTACATCATTGCAGAGATGGAGAAATTATTGTACTGTTTAGGAGCCACTTAAAGCGGACCTTTACCCCCTTTCACTAGAAATCACATCAGCATACAGCTTTGCATGCTGATATGAAATAATCACATTTATTTAGCTAATTTTGTTTTACTTACAATTTCTTTTTTTTTGCCACTTCCTGGTTCACTTTGGCACAAATGATGTAACTGTGCCCAAGCATTGCATCCAAAGAAGGTCAGCAAAGCTATGCCGGGAAATCCCATCTGTAATCTCGCAAACATTCCAGGGAAAGGCATTTTCCTACCCTGAGATGATGTGCATGGTCACATGTGCCAACATTTCAGGAAGTATAGAGAGATCTAGTAACCTGCCCTTAGTTAAAATGACCACTGTCCGAAGACTAGGGACGAAAAGAAAAATAAGGTATGCAAAAAATAAGAAGCCTGCGATTATTTAGAAGTATCTGTTTGTAGATTGTCATTACTAAACATTTCTAAAGGTGTATTTGTTATTATTTTGAAGATATGGGTAAAGTTCCTCTTTAAGGATGAGAGTATTTTTTATCATATTGTAAATGCTAGTCTATATTTCATCAGCAGGTGCTTACAAAGGAATTTAAGTCTGTCGATCAGTAGTCTCTTGGACTTTGTCAAGACATGCGGAAACTTGATAAACTGCTAATTTATTACAGGTATTTTAGATAGCACTTTGCATTCACCTTAGTCCCTGCCCTCAAGGAGCTTGCACTCAAAGGGCCGATTTCGACGGGACCAATTAACCTTCCAGCATGTCTTTGGAGTGTGGGAGAAAAGTGGAGCACCCCCACACGGGGACCCCGAGCAAGGCAGAGGTGCTAACCACTACAGAAGAAGGTCTTCTGATTGCTATAGGCAACAAGAACAGTTATTTATTCCTGATATGGTAGTATTGTATAGAGAATAATGCATTGCTTACTTACGATGTATGTGCTTACCCGCTCCTGGAGTTCCCCAACGGGTCAATTCCGAAGCACATCTATTCGGCGCTGATTCTGGTTGGTCCACTTTTGATCCACTGATGGGGTTAACTCTGAAGTGTTCGCTGCAACACCTGGTCACGGACCAACAGTGGGAAGAGGCACAGAGCCATTTCTTAAAATGGCGCTCAGTAGCCATTTTTACCTGTGTGCCCCTACTTAGTTTGAGCTGTCTCCCTTTAGGTCATCTTCTTGCGCAGACTTTCTTAGCCTTTATGCCATCTCAGCCACACCATGATGCTCGGTGTTTAAAGATCCTTTGGATAAAACATGGTCATTAAAAGGCATTATCCCTCACAGGCCCTGTCCTGCATCCTACCGCTGCTGACATGTCCATCTGCCACATCTTAGGTGTCTGGTCCAAGGATGCCAAAGGATACTTGATCTATTCTCACAGATACTGTGTTGATGGGTTAAGTGGATATTATGAGCCTAATATCCAGAACGTCTCCTTTCAGTATACATGCAGAGGACCCTTTGGATGAAATGTTGGTTTGCAAAACATCAGTGTAAGAAAAGCCTATTGCGTATGCCCTTTGATTCGGAAACCTTTTTTTTTTTTTTTTTTAAATTCCTGGACAACTTTATCAAGAAAGTCAGTGGGGAAAAGCGCACCCTTTTGCCCCAGCATAAGTCTCCCGAAAAGGCTGACAAGGGTTTCCTCTGTTTCTCCTAGGCAAGACCTGGCACTCTGTTCTGCCATAGTTCCTGGATTCCCAAATCCTCCAACCCCGGGACCAAATCCTCCTTCCATTGCAGTAGTGCCTTCCGGAGTGGAAAGATCTGTTGGCATTTGCCGCCACCTGGTCATTTCAGACATTTGGGTACACAATGTCTACAAGCTACAATTTCTAGCTCTGCCTACATCTTATTTCATGTTAAACCTGCCAATGTGTCACTATCTGGGATCAGGCTCGGAGTCCAGTAGCTGAAACAGCAGGCAACTTCGTGGTATAACAGGCCGTGTTTGGTACACAAGCAGACGGTAGAAGTATAGGAGCAGGCAGAAGCGTAGTCTGTGAACAAGCCGAGGTCAGTAGCCAAAGGTATTAGGTACAAAGCAGAAGACGATGAGAGTAGTTGGTGAATCAGCAGCCAAAGGGTCGGTACACGGGTAGCGGATTGTATCACAGAGGGAGCAGGAAGCAAGATATTGGCAGGAGCACAATAATCTGGCAAACAGGAAGTGCAGAGGCATGGCTTAAATAGGAAGTTCAAGGGAGGAGCAGGAAGTTGAGTTCAGCAGACACTAGGTTTAACTGAGGATTACACAGGAGATCATGCAAGGAGCTATCCAAGGTTCTAAAGTGGCTCAACAGGTAGAACCACTGCCAGCTACAGCAGAGGCCCTGGGTTCCGATCCGGTTCCTGACACAATATCCCCGTAGAGACCAGTGGACCTCTAGGCTGCTCTGGCACAGCAAAGGATTATAGCTATTATTCTGGAAAAGGAAAGGTTCCAGGGGTTTTAGTCCACTATTTAATGTTCCCAAAGCAAAAGCAGCATTCGCTGCATTCTGGTTATGGTTCTCAATAACCTCTTTCAGGTACTTTCCATGAGATTTCCCAACAATGCACTGTAATTATACCTTCCCAGGATGCTTCTCTTAGGCATGGGCTACAACAATAATGCCTAAGAGTAACAGGAAGTGTAACAACTGTAATTGGAAGTAAAAAAAAGTTTAGCTAATGAATGTAAGATTTCATACCCGCATGCTGGTGTGATTTTTAGTGAAAGGGGGTAAAGGTTCACGTTAAGGCCAAGGCTCCACCTTTTCCTGTCAAAGACCACTCCACTGGATCAGTTAGATGCCTGGCACTGAAAGGTCCACGAAGAATTGTTTCTCAGATTTGCAAGGCTGTCATCTGGTAGTTCCAACGCTCGTTATGTATTACCAGGTGGGCATTCGGGCCTAATCTGATAAGGCTCTGCTAAGCCCCCTCTGTTAAGGTGCCCATACATCTAACGATTATTGTACGATAATCGCGGGTGATCCCGCAATTTTACGATAATCGGCATGGGCAGCGGGCGACCACATTTACTGTACGGTCGCACGACTTTCGTCTTATGAGCACGCTAGAAAACCCGCCGAAAATCGTACAATTTTCAGCGGGTTGGTAGCGCGATCGCAAGACGTAAGCCGTATGGGCCGCTGTGCGCAAGCGCACACTGCCCGCTCAGCATTGCAATCATTGGCAAGCCAATGATGATCGCAAGTATGATCTGCCTGTCCAAGATGGGCAGATCGTACAACATTTTAATCACCTTACAACCATCGCACAACGGTTGTAAGGTGTATGGCCACCTTTTAATCTGTTGTTTCTTGTGGGCCGGTTCAACCCTCAGTTGGATTGCCTTTGAATGTCCCAGTGGACCTGAATTACTTTTATTCTGTGTCCCTTTTAATGTATGACTAAGAAAATAGGATTTTTGACTTGACGTAAAATCCTTTTCTTGGAGTACATTAAGGGACAATGGTCCCTCCCCTCTATTCTTTTGATCCACTCCTCCTGTTGCTTTGCTAAAGAACTGGAGCATGATGGGAGTGTCCAATCTCCATAATGCAATGTACCTCAATAAACATCATCCTCTGTCCCTAATGTACTCCAAGAAAAAGATTTTACAGCAAGTCAAAAAATCCTATTTTACAAAATATAAGCCATAATGCTTAAAACGGTACATTTTATAAAGCATAATAATGTGCCTTATGCTTTGCTTCCAAACACGCAGCAAGAAAAGCCTTGGTAATATTGAATGAAAAATAAGGTTTCTAGATAAGGAAAGCCCTGTCCCATTACCTTTTTAATGATGTGACCAACCTCTTCCCCCTACTACAAAGTGTTCTCTTAAGGGTTTTGCAGACAACACTCAAACACCACAGGCTTCACACCCCGACCTGCATTTTATTAATTGCTTTTAAAATATGTGTACAGTGTAGTGTCCGCTCTCCTTGATAAATAGCCCCCTTTTGTTCTTCAGACCCCTAATATGAGCCCTTCCAAGTAGATCTAAACTCGTCTACAAAAATCTAAGACAAACATTATCAAGTTTTAAGTTTAAAAATAGTTGTGTTTTTAAACATTTTAATGTTCATTTAAAAAATACCTGGTGTTCCTCCCATGAAGGTCCTTGTCCAGGTGCTTCATGTTATAGGGTGACAAATGTCTTGCAAATGGGCTCCTGTACACCCCAGCATGCTCCCCTTAAGGGGTGCTTAGACCACAAGCAGCTGTACTTTCACACTTTGCATAGCTAGGTTCCGCAGTGCCAATAATTTCAATAGCACCCAAAATGCGCCTCCCACTCATGTGATTGCCTGCACTGGAACGCACAGAACTGCCATGCCACGCATTCTAGTGCAGTGTGATTGCAAAACAATGTGCATAGTTTTATTCTGTAGTAAACTTTTGTAACACTAATTTTGTGTACTTTATTTTAAAGATGGAATTTATTTCTTTTATCCGATTAATCGAAGAAATAATTCGGCCAACTAATCAATTATGAAAATAATCATTAATTGCAGCCCTACTCTCGATCAATATTTTGGAGCTCTGAGCGATTTTGTTGCCCCTACAATGCTGGACATCCTGACAGGAGGGTCATCCGATTAGCAATGGTGTACATCAAGCATCTGGGAGGAACCAGAACCTAGTGTCCAGGTTTGACAACCAGCTAGACAGGTTTGTCGTTATGTACAGAGATCCTCTGCTGGCTTCTTGGGATCATCATGATCTGATTAGACTTCACACAGATGCGCTATGGGCTCTTCTAGATTGTCAGGACCTTCTGTCTCTAAGAGCAGTTTATCATCCTGCTTCAGGCTCTTGGGAGTCAAGGCAGCAGCACTGTTTTGCTAGGAAATAAATTAATGTGTGTATATGGTGAGGGACAGTGAGGAGTGGCAATAGTTCTGTAGTCCAGCAGGCAGTGCTGCTTGCCAGCCCAAACAGGAAGTTAGGAGCACAGTGGATTTCTGGCAGAGCAATAGGTATTTTATGTACTTCCAGTGTTGGTAAATAGCTAAAACGTAGAAATGTGCATGGAATCGTTTTTGTTTATTTTTCCCAGACATTCACTTTAACTGCTGCCGAGTAGAAAGCATATAGACCATAAAGAAGCTCTCCCCAATGTCCAACTTGCTGCTGGAAGAGAATACTTACCTCCAATGCAAAAAGTAATAGAACAAAACCTTACGTTTTTATCCTTTTTCATTTCCAACATCTCGTTTTGCCAGTTCTGTTGAGAACAAAGCATCTTTATTATACGAAAGACTGCAATTACACCAGCGAGTCAAAACAAAAAGGTAATAAGTTGATTTTATTTCTGAACAAAATACATCAACTGATCGTTTAAAAATACCTTCTTCACCTAGAACTCTAAAAATGAGATATCATGACTGGGGCAGCGTAGCAGGTTTACAAGTCTAAAAACATCCATTCAGTGCTACTATAGAGTAGCTAGTGTTCAAGTCATTGGTGAATGCTGCAGTTCAATAGTCACAAAAGTTTAGGCATACAGCATTTATGTACAGAAGGGTGCAAGCTGACAATGTGTGTAGTGGAAGGTCTCTGACTGAACCCCACAGCATGATTTCCTTTCAAGCTTTACCACAAATGTATTTTCTCTCCAATTAGAAGAAAGTACCCCTTGGAAATATGTGTTTGAATACTGACAGGCTCTTTTTTTGGTGTCGAGTATTCCGACCGCTCTTACAGTACGAAATCCTTCATTACTCCGTAATGCTTATGTAAGGAAAACCAAAGTCCCACTTCATTATAGGATGAAACCCAGCCAGGGTACCACATCCACGTTGTTTGTTTCAGCTGAACCGTCATGCTTGCTGTAACGTTTATGCTATATGTGCATACATAGACTGTAGGAAATATCTGTAGAAGGTCATCTTTCCTAAAAACAGGCATGTCATCTTGAAACCAATGAGCAAAAATCTTGTCCTAGCTTGACAAGAGGAAAAATAAAATCAACGTCGCACATAAACAGTCCAAGAGAAGGGAGATGGTCAAGCCACGGGCATATTTCTTCACTAATGGCAGCAGGCATATGAAGTAAGATCTCTTTTCTGTGTCAAGTCCACTCCTTTAGGTTCTGTTGGGGGGTAAGAATATAGAAGATAAAATATTTTACAAGATAATTGTGGTCTAGTTTAAAGTAAAGCCTAACTGAACTTTTACTTTAAATTGGCTAAATACATTCCAGGTGCATAAAAAAAATGTGCTAATTCTAATAGTTTTCTTTAAGAAGCAACCACAGCCTATGTAGAAAAGTCTGTATCCTGCCAGAATGCTGCACAGTGGGACACTTGCTCCGCTTGGTGAGGAAGCAGTGATCTCTATACAGCAGTATGGCCTACCCCCTTCTGAGTCAGAGCTCTATAATTAGCAGGAACATGAGCTTTGTTACTTGCTGAGCTATAGGTTTCAGCAAGGGATGTATCTGAGCACTACAGAGAGACCACTGCATCGCCACAGACAACAAGGGTCCCACTAAAGTGCCGCTGGCAGAGGACAGACTTTTTTTTTTTTACTCAGACTACAGTTGCTATAGAAAAAAGACCCCCACAAACTATAGAGCACTGAACAGCTTTTGTTTTGATGTACTTCGAATCGATTTAACTGATTTAACCCCTTCGGGACCAGTGACGCACATAGTACGTCATTGGCAGCAGACTGACTTTACATTTGTAAAGCTGGCTGTCAGCTTTACAATAGAAGCGATTTCTGGCGGCTCAGCTGCTGTCAGCCCGCTTTTACGGGTCAGTAAAGGTGCCAAACACCCCCACTGTGTTTCCCGGGCTATGCTGCCCCTCCTGTGGGCCCGGGCCTGGCATGTCGGGTGCCGGCAGGAAGCTGCGGAGGAGAGAGGCGAACGTCCGTTCACCGATCTCCCTGCTCTGTGGGACTGGGAGCGACACTTATTGCATCACTTCCGGTCCTTGAAGTTGGGCAATAATCTATTGAAGTGCAATCTGCACTTCAATAGCTTACTTAAAGTGGAAAGCTGACACTAGTGGTCTTTTGGACCCCCAGTATCACCTTAAAGAGGAGCTGTCGCTGCCAATATGCTGTCATGGTCAATATGCTGTCAATATAGAATAGCAATTAGAGTACAAAAAAACACGTTTAAAAAAAATATTAAATCAAATGTAAAAATAATTTCAATTTTTTTTTTCAAAGTCCCCCTTCCTCGTGAGCGTGTAATCATGTAGACGCACGTCGGATGCGCCTACAGACGAAACCGACGATTGCATTACACATGCTGAGTATCGCCACACACGAGTGAGAGCAATAATCCTAGAGCCAATATTTATGCATATCTCTAAATTGATGACCTGTATGGGCTTTTAAAGACGTCTATGGACTTTTTGGGGTGCTGAATTTTGTTGCTGTTTCACAAGTTAAATTTAGTGTCCCAAAACACAATATAATAGTTTAGTGCATTTTTCACTACATTTTTGGGTTTGATAAAGAATTGCGCTAATATCGTGCAACATAGAAATTTGTAACTGCCGCTATTTAAATTCTACAGGGTGTTGGCTTTCAGAAAATTATATAATTTGGGGGTTTGAAGTAATTTTCAGGCCTAAAATGTGGATTATAACGTATGCAAAAACCCCCAAAAAGGGTTAAGTGAAGGTTCATTTGCACTTTAAATCTGTGAGAACAGAAACATGGGAGCTAACCCTGGCATCATTACCTTATCTGAAATGAACCTAGGATAAGGAAAACTACTTCTGGGTATTTGCTCAGATCTCCTTTTTACTAAAAACTGATACTCCATCTGCATCAAAAGGCACCTAATATTAAATATGGGAGATACTTCTATTTAACCTACCTGTTTGAACTTGAAAGTCGCTGTAGTTCACAAAGTCTTCTGCAACCTTCTGGAACAGATCATCTGGTACATATGCACACAAAATATAGTGATCAGAGAAGAGCAGTGCAACTTCAAAGTGTTTTACTGTGTACAAAAATACAAAAAACGGAACTGTGTCTGTCCTAAACTAAACTGAATGCATAAAAGTGGCACATGCAAAGTAAAATATATTTGCTGAATGGTAATGCACACATTTCACTGTTTTCCCTTGACTAAACCAGAGCACTTTCTAAAATCTATTGGAACTAAATTTGATCATGCAGAATAACTGCACAATTGCTGTTCAGAGATGTATCCAATGAACAACTCTTTCTGAGTGTACTCCTGTGACCCAAAGTCAGCGTCTAGCAGGGTACTCACCCACTATCTGTTGCCAGTGCAGAGCTGCATTGCAGCCAGTAAGGATGCTGACATTATTGTTGGAATCTCCCTGGCTACTTGATTGAAAGCTGGCTCCAGTTCTACAAAGGCAGAACCAGCTGTCAATCAAGCAGCCAGGGGAATGCCCATCCCCTCCCCTGTCTACTTCTCCAATGAGGAACAAAAAGGAGAGGGGGGAATACCTGGAGGGAGGAGACCATGAGATGAGTGATCAGCAGTTTGTGATCGGCTCAGCTCAGCCACATTGTTACACGCCAGCTATAAGTATTGGGAAGAGTATATTTTCCTCTTCCAATACTTCTCCTTTTCTTCTTTAATAATATAAAAAGTATAAACATTACTAGATAACAAGCTTTGGCTACTAGGTTAAAGTCCACATCTAGTTTATTTTTCATACTTAAAGTAAAGCTGTTCTAAGACATGCTTGGAGGCTGCCATTGCTGACTTCCTGGAAATGCTAGATGCCTCGCCGCTGACTTCATAGCTTCGAGTTACTGACCCAGAACAAGTATGCAGCAAGTCAAAGTTACAGATCAGGAGAGCTGGCGTCAGCTTGTTCCAGATGATGTAAATTATTGAAGTTATTGGATGAGTAGGACAACCAGAAAACCAGTGTTCTTGGGATAGGACAGCAATGCAACACTACATACTCCCTCAGTACAGGTTTTCTTTAAACACTCTTGGGCTTGCATATAAAAAAAAACTGTCTGCCATTACTCAGCTGGCTTTTTTTCCCTATCGTTCCAACCAATAGTGTAAAACATGTTCTTACCCACGCTGTTGCCTGTTTTACTAGAAGTCTCACAAAGGTGGCCTTTAATCTCTGCAGAAAGATAAAAACATTGTTAGAACTGAAGCGCAGGACAAAGCATACATTGTAACATACAGAACTCTCCTGTAAATGAGGGTTTGACCTTGCACATGCAGCTACTGCTGCTGTTCTGTATAAATTCTTCTTTCTACACTGCAAAACAGAATCTGTGCCAAGGATACAAGAATGAAAAGTGAGAGGCAGAGGCATTGATTGGCTGAATGGGATTTTGGTTTGGGACAATTAATTGTACATATTGTAATGCACATGTGTTAGGCACAAAAGAAACCTGTTTAATACGTCTGGGATTCCATTCAAGTAGCAGGTCTGGATGTAATTTGGAAGGGTGTAGCCCCACTGCAAGGGTTAATCAACATTCTGCCTGGAGTTGTCCTTTAAAAAACAAACTGGTGCTATACAAACACCTACTAATTTAACAAATGCAACAAGATGCCTTGTAATAATATATATTCTTCTAAGTCTTAACAAATGTGTCTTTTTAACGCCCATGTGAACATATGCTCCTAGGGTATACAGTCATGACCAAAAATATTGGCACCCCTGCATTTCTGTCAGATAATGTCCATTTTTGGAGTTTTGCATGGAATGTGTCAGGTTTGGCTTTTTTTTTCCTCCACTTTTTTTGTGTCACACCAATACAAACAAAATAAATAAACATGAGAATGCCTAAAGATTTGTAATTGCAACAATGTTCTGCGCAAAGTGGTGCATTATCTGACTAAAATGCAGGGGTGCCAATATTTTTGGCCATGACTAGGTGCAACTGGTTAAGATTCTGGGTTTTATTACATGTTGCTCAATGCTCAGTATTTTAACAAAAGATATTACATGTATATCAAATAGAAGAAGATAGTTTAGACAGGGGTTTTGTTATATCTAGAACTAGGGTCAGGACATGTCAAAAGTTAGTCGTACCGTCTGCATAATCTTGCACGTCATGGAAATCAACCTGTCGTCTACTCTTGTCATTCTCAATGAGGTCGGTCTTTGTGCCACAAATGTAAATCTGACAATGCTGGGAACAGAAAGAAGACAACAATTAGGACCGCAGGAGCAGATTTTTATTATGCTTAACAGTGCTTATGTATACAAACCTCTTCAAAATTCTGAAGTTCATTCACCCAAAACTTCACTCTTTCAAAACTACTGCTGTCTGTGAGATCTGTGACAAATGGGAAACTGAGGATTAGTACATGGGCAATATTCACACTGCTGGCATAATCCTTAGCAGAAATGCAGTGCTACAGCAAGGACGAAAACACAGCTAATGTTACTTGCTGGAAAAGGAGAGCTTGTTTGTTTGAGAGGATGGACCTTCTCCCATATTGGTGAGAGCTGAGGAGGTCTAGTTGGGGTAAGCTTAGATTTCTTAGCATCAGCAGCTTCGAAGGCCAGAAGAGTCTACAGGGTTTTATGCGCTTCGTCTGGAGAAGTGATGATATGTGTTCTGCCATTGTGCTGGAAGATAAGTTTGAAGTGAAAGTCCTCAAGCTAGTGAGATAAGGTTGGAGTTCTAATTCTGGGTGTATGATAGAGGTCCGAATACAGTTCATATTTGTGACCTTGAAACAGCCTTAATGTCAGTGGTAGAAATTTGGAATAAATACTTATTCCAATCCCAATACAAGCCTCACCCAAATGGGTGTAATGCTGGGAACTATACCGAAAAGGCTCCTCTGATAACTCTAGCTACAAAGAGAGAGGAAAAGTTTAGGGAAAAAGAGCCTTCCGTATCAAACAATGTTCCTTTTGTTAATATAAAATATAACTTTTAGGCAGGTGTGACAAAATGCTGTAAAGTATGAATGCATTCAAAAATATATATTTGTGTTTATTTCAATTTACAAAATGCAAAGTGAGTGAACAGAAGAAAAATCTAAATCAAATCAATATTTCGTGTGACTACTAGAGGTGCACCGGGGGGAAAAAAAATTCTAACCTTTTTAAATATTTTATTTTAAAAAAAAATTTCTAAACTTTTTAAAAATATTTGTATTATATATTTATTTATTTTTAAACTTATTATGGGGAAATATCAGAGGCCTAAACAGACCCCTGATATTTCCCTTTTAAAATAGAAAAAGAGATTGAGTCCTCAATCTCTTTTTTTGCAGCCCATGTTACACTGGTCTACAAATTTTGGGAAATGATCGACCTCTGAGATAAAATGTGTTTATTCTTAAATATTTTGATTTAAATTAATTAGAAAACGAGTGATAAAGGTGCTGGTTGGCTCAAAGTTTTCAAGATAGTTCACTTTATACACAGGCAAGTAAATTTGCCTACAAGAGTTGATGATCATGATGCCTCGTAACCTCTCGACAAAGTGCGGTAGAACAATGAAAATGGTACCACATGGAAGTGTATAAATTTATCTTCACTTTGAGACTGAGGAATATTATCTTATTATCTAACTAATTTATTGCAAGGTACATTTGTCTTGGTCAGATCCACGCATCATTCAGTTACATCTGGTGGCTTGTGAAAGTGTCATTGACTAACATTTCCAAGGGACAGTTGTGTGATATTTTCCCTCAGAAGCCAAGATGCCTCGAAACTGTGTAAAGAACGCAGATAACTTCTGCTACATTTGTGGCGAGGTTACATTTGCATTTTAAAAGTGCAGTATGACGGCTGTGGTAAAAAAAAAAGGCATAGCACCTATATTTTGGATGCAAAATAGGGGAGCAGGACAAGAGTTGGGTCTCTCATTATTGTTGCATTGCATGTGCAGTTCACAACAGAAAAGCCAAAAGTGCAGTTTAGATACCGCATAAAGATGGAACGTTTAACATCTGATGTTAGCGCTTGGCAAAAAGCATGAAAATGTTACATGAAAAACCAATAAAGGAATGGAAAGTTATGTTATTGTATCAATAAAAAGATACATTTATAATGATTGGTGTGGCACCATTCTCATTGCTATATCACGTTTTGCAGAAAAGTTATGGAGCATAATTGCACATCCCCCTCGTAATTTTGAATTATTTTGATTTTGCAATTTTGACCTGAAGCTGTATCTTGGAAACTTGAGCCAATTCATACTCAGGACTTAATTTTCCTTTAGTGACCCACTTCTGGGAAAATTTAGCTACTTTAATTTCCGAGGCTTTCTCCCTGTAGACCAGTGTTATGAACGAACAGGAATCCTTTAAACTGAGTGTTCCTGTTCATTTCATGACCTGTGGAGATAGTGTGAGTTACTATGTCCACAATCATGAAAGAACAGGAAGTGATGTAGATCATTTCCTGTTCATTCATAATTGGGAACACAGTAAACATACTGTCCTTAATTATTTACAAGTAGTCAGTCAGCCATGATTATATATAACTTTAAACCCTGTACAAAAACACTTCCCAATATGAGAATTAAAATCTTGACAACGTTGCTCAATGTGCAAAACATGTGAGATGAAGGATAAAATAAATGGACACAGCAAAATGCCATATCGTGTCAAGTGAGAGCTTCTGCAAAGTGTATGCTGTATATCCTGCCTCTTTACTGTTTTCCACTGGACCTTTTCTATTATTATTATTGGTATTTTTATAGAGCGCTGACAATTTCCACAGCGCTTTACATAGTTGCACATTCACATCGGTCTCTGCCCTCAAGGAGCTTAAAATTTTAAGTCCCTATCTCACATGCATACACACAGACAATTTTGGAGAGGAACTAAATAACCTTCCAGCATGCCTTTGGAGCTGAATGTAAGACAGTGTCTACTGTTTTGCTACACTAGTTTTGAACTAATGGATACAGATTATTACAGCTTGCAACCTAATGCATAGGGACCCGCACTTAGATACTGTGTAGCCAGCGTGAATTCATTTAACTCTATTTCAGGTACTATGATAACATTTAAGATGCATTCACATATAGCGTTTTCGGACACGGTTTTCCTCGTGGAAGACAATGCGGGAAGTGTTTTTGCACAGGGTTTACAGATAGATAGATAGATATATATTATAAAAGAACATTGTTTGATACAGAAGGCTAATTTTCCCTAATATTTTCTTTTGTAGGCTTAATGCAGGTTTCCTGGAAAATTACCTCCTTGGTCTTATAGTAGGTAAGCGTAACAATTATGTCTCTCACTGGGCCAGATGGCTGCTGGTTTGATTTTCAAAATCTTTAGTTTAAGAACAGCCTCATCCAGTTTAGACCATAGGGAATCCCAGGTCTTGTTCATGGGAGTTCATAACTGTGATAGTGTCCTCCATTTTGTCTTTCAAGTAAGGGGTGACCAGTCCTCCATTTTGTCTTGCTGGGGGTGACCAGTTCTCCAATCTCTTTAGTGAGATCTGCTGTGATACATTCAAAGGCGGCCATAAGCTCCCGTCTAGAGAAGGACATTCTCAACTCTGATGGAGGCTTGCCTGGCAGAGAAGCCTGGAAGAGTCTCACCCAATGTGGAATCCAGCAGACTGGCTATTATTTTTAGGAGACGGTGGTGAGACCACTCTAAGGGACGATGGAGCCATTTGTGCAGGCTGAGCAGAAAACTCTGCTAGAATCTTGTCAAGTGGTGAGTGTTCTTTATACCCATGAAAGTCCAGCTGGCTGGCATGAAAAGGCCAACTAGGGCTGAAGAATGCAAATGAGTATAGATGCCCAGGTGTAGAGCCCACCTAAGCTGCCTCTGCCATGTTCGCCTCTTCATGTGCACCACCAGGTGTGATGTCTTTCAATACTAATCATGTTGGCAGCACTATCTTCACCTGAGCCAAGTAAAGCAGGTAAAGGACCTTTTTGTTATGATGTCAGTTGGTGTTTATGCACACTGGCATTTAGACTGTGGTAGGCATTTCAGTTCCCTTGGTCAGGTTAGATATTTTTATTCTCCATTGTAAAAGCAAACACTGTTCTATTCCGATGTGCTTTGTGAAAAGTAACTGCAGTAGTGTGCACGACAATAAAGATTACTTATCGCTAAACTAACCCAAGACAAATGCACCAAATTAAAACCCACTCCAAATGCATGCACCCTAAAGGAGAAGACATCTCTGTAGGGCTAAATGAAGGTAAAACTAAAAGAGGGGCAAAGAGAAATTAAGTTAAACCCCAAAAAAGGAGGAAAATAAAAAAAAAATCTTACCATAGCAAACAATGGCAGCTTTGGCCCCTCGGTAATAAATACGACTCATAGCTTCATAGCGTTCTGAGCCTGCTGTATCCTGAAGAGAAAAATATAACTAATTACTATAAAGACAGGAATGTCCTCAAAGAGGAAACAAATCGCTTTAACCAACTATAATAAATGTTTACTTCTTGATGCAAAACTTTCCGATATCCTATATTGCTTCTACTCTCTCAATATTTTTGCCAGCAACGATCATTATTTGCAGTAAAGTTATTTTCAACAATGGCAGCCAATAAAAGGTGAAAATAATATTATGGTATAAACCACTTGTGTTTATAGCTATGTTTATGGAGGCTTTAGAGACTTTTAAAGAGCAATTCCGGGTGAAATGAAAGAATTGATACTATCCAGCTACAGATAAAAAGCCCACTCAGGTTTAAATTTAAAAACATTTAACAAGTGACAAGTTCCCTTTAGTGTAGGGACATTAAAGTGTATTTCCACTTTTGCAGCCAAATTGGGATGACACCAATTTTATAATTGTTACATATTTCTCATTCACATAGCATAACTATAAAAAACATTTTTTGCTGCTTACCCAAAACATGCTTAAAGTAGAATTAAAGTATTTTTTGTTATTTGGCATATATTCACTGCTAGCAAGCAGCAGATGTATGCCCCATGATTTAAAAAAAATAGGCAAATACCTAATTACTTATCTGTCCCAGAGCAGCTCGCTCCCAGCTGAAGAACTCCTGGCTCATGAACGGTCGTAAAGGACGAAGTGTGCAGGCGCATGCGCAGTAGAGCGGAGGCGGATAAAACATAATGACAGTAAATTGACGCAGCTGGGAACGTGCACACCAGACAGACACCGTGGGAGACAAGGAGTCTATGGTGGATTAGAGACCCGCACCAGCGCTGGAGGGACTGTCGGAAACCAGTGGAAAGAAGAAGATGATCGGATCAAGAGGCATCACATAAGGTAAGTGCTTACAGCAGCATGGGGGGGGCGGGGGAGAGTTTAATGTCACTTTATTTCTGAAAGATACATTTTGCTCTGTACTGAATTTCCCTCTAGAATGCAAGGAGGCTGGGCAGATTAATGTTAACATAATGAACTCTGTCTGTACTGTGCTGGCAGATCTCATTATCACTTATAAACTAGATTTGAACACCCTCTGTCCTAACAAAGGGTTAAAGATCTCTAAGCTTTGTATGTTAGTGAGGGGAAGCTCAGTCTGTCCTTAGTCTTTCTATGGACAGTCCGAGTTTGCGGTTACTGAAATTGAGAGAGAAGCCTGCAAAGGCCTGCTATACAAACACATCTAAAAGGTAAGAAATATTTTTTAAAACATTAATTTTTAGGTACGATGTATGAACAGGACCACATAACAAACATATATAGATGGGGTTTTCCCAAATTTGACTGCAAAAGTGGAAATACACTTTAAGAATTACTACACATTAATACACAATCTTTATTTCCCAGGTTTGCAAATGGCTCAGTTTATAGCATTCTAATATATTCTACATCGTGTTTTTCAAGCAGAAAAGGCTTTCATTTTGTATTTATTTCGATTTAAGCCCTGTGACTCCAAGGATATCACATACGCCAAATTTATATCTAACACAGCAGAGTAGTAAATCCCAAAGTCAAAGTTTGCCTTTCAGTTTAAGACACCTTTTACCCCTTCAATGTGCAATCTTTACCCTTTGGCATCACAACGCATGCAGAAAGAAAACAAATCTGTGTTCCTTGTAAGTGTAACATTGAGGAGAATCTGTCACTAATAAATGTTACAAAGTTTTAACTGTAAAGAAGACATTTAATAGTCAGCTCTCCTGCTGCCCGTGCCACTGATTTGTGCTGTAGTAAAGAGAAGCTGGCAGCTGAATTACCTTCAGAATCTGACTGTCTGATTCTGGGTCCCCCACTGTGCATTGTGGTTTCTACCATTACCCCCATGTCACTGCAGGACACAGTAATAATGTAGGTGCCAGCAGATTGTACCACTGTAAAATGAGGGGCAGTAAACTAGCCCTCAGTTACAGCTCTAGCTGCTTTTTAATGTGAATGTATTCATTCTCAAAGGTCCCAACAAAAACTATGATATTGGGTTCCAGTTGCCTTCTGACAGCTTAGAAACACTTGCTGTGCGTTTACATTAAAGGGCTGGGAGGCTGCCAAGATCTGCTCTCATAGAAAACAAGCTAACGTTTTTGTGTGTGTATTGTGAATTTTGAAAATGATTTTTTTCCGCTATGCTTATCGTGTGCATGACCTGGGCACAAGTTCACTTTAAGACAATTCTTTGTAAATCTTTTGCAAAGTTTCTTACATGAAGATCCTGCCAGTAACAGCACTTACTGTTGCAGGCTGACAATGCTAAGCCGCTGCCTCTCAATTAGCAGAAGTGTTGTCAGCCTGCAATGCAAGTTTCCATCATTTGGCCGATGGCTGCTTATCCGACAGACCAGGCGTGCAACCCAATGGCCAACCTGCTTGCTTACATTGCATGGGGTGAAATAATGGAAATGATGAAACTTTCACAATTACGAGCAGGAATTGCACATACAAACCAAAGTGTAAAAATAACCAGCTTAGCACATACCCAAATTCCCAGTGTCACAATACGTCCTCCCACATTCATGGATTTGGCAACAAAGGCTGCGCCAATAGTCTAAAACAAAGCAAAAAATACACCAGGCTTAAAAGACATGGCTAAAATTCTATGTAATAAGTAAACGTGTTGTTCATGCTAGCCACTATTTCCTGGTTTCCAGCCAAGATATTATTATTATTATTATACAGGATTTATATAGTGCCAACAGTTTGCTCAGCGCTTTACAATATAGGGCAGACATTACAATCACAATACAATTCAAGACAAGATGGTAAGGAGGGCCTTGCCTGTGAGGGCTTACAATCTAAAAGGGAGGGGGGAGTGATACATGAGGAGGGGGGCTGTGTGGGGATGAATTGTTTGAGAAAGTGATAGTTTAGTGGTTAGGTTGAGGTGGGATAGATATGAAAGATGAAGAGATAAAGTAACATGTAGTTCAGCAGTGACATCCGATCCCATATTGTAAGAACAAGCCACTTAATCTGACAATATTTAATAAGAGTGAACATTATCAGCCTTATGAAGGTAAATGAATGACCAGCCCCTGCATACATAGGCAGTAAACAGCAGGAAGAGTCCAGTGAACTATGACCATCACCCGCAATGATAAATGTAACCGGCAGGAAGAGAGTGAAGCCAGGAAGTGTGGGGGGCAGCCATTGCTGACCTGCTTCCAAGAATATTATTCGCCTTCCTGTCTGACTTCATACTTTAAAAAGGAACTTCACAAAAGCCAAACTCACACACCCAGTGATCCAGCAGTGTTCTGTACTGCACAGCTGTTCCCATGCCACCATCTTCTTCTGTGACATCATCAGGTGCTGGCTGTCTCTTCTGGGTTCTTGCAGCCCCCTCCCCCCCCCAAAAAAAAACCAGCAAGAGACAGCTGGCTTTCTGAAGATGAGTCCTCCAAGGCCTTTTGGGATGTATTATGTGGGTATCCCAGGAGGCTATGGGGGACATGTCATTCTCAACTATGTGAGAAAGAAAGCAGGATGTGCAGGGAGGGCTCCTTGAAAAGAAGGTATTTTCAATATTAGTAAATATTAAATATCTGATTGTTAGAGAGGAGGGAGGTAGGGGTGGAATGAGAGAAAGTGAGTGGGCGAAGGTCCACTTTAGGTTATTGACCTGGAACATACATGCACATTAGAAAGTGAAGTCACAAGTCCTGATCCGCATGCTTGCTCTGGGTCAGTGGCTCTAAAAGTGCTGAAGCCAATGGAGCTGGATGGCAGCCAAGCAACTAACATATTACAACATGGCAGTTTCATATTGTTTCAGTCAATGTTTCTTATTATATATAAACCCAATCACTTAAATCTCATATAAGCTTTAACATTTTAATAGAAGTTTTAAAAGTAATTTTCACTGCTTTGAAATCTGCAGCTTATAATATTTTTAATGTATTACCCATTGACCCGGCCATGAAGGTCCTTGCACAGGCACATTCTCTTACAGGGTGACAATGCTATGTCCCTGTCACCCACTTGTACTCCCAGGTTGTCACCCTTTCACACAGGCTTCAGATGGAGATTACAATTGACCATTTCAACACGCATTATGCAGGCATGGTCTACTACCTGGAGATGGGCTTCAACCCACAATCCCCTGCTCCCCCTTTTCTTTCTCTTCCTCATTCTCTATTTTAATATAACTTGTTAGAACATAGTCCCACAACATACCCTACCAGACTACCCACTTGCCAGTCTTTGCATAAAGCAAAAGCTTGCCGCCAGGGGCATAACTAGAAATCACAGGGCCCCATAGCACAATCTTGTATGGGATTGTGCTTTCTAGTTAAACCCACCTGATATCCCAAACAGCCCACCTGAGGGTGACCCTGCGGAGCCCACCATAGACTCTATATGGTGGGCTCTGCAAGGTCTCAGGTGGGCGGTCAAGCTCTCTTACCTGGCCGATCCTCTGTCCGCCTCCTTCTCCTCCACCATCGCTTGCGGGCCCCACCGCCTCCGTCACTGGGCCCCACCTCCTCGATCACCAGGCCCGCCTCCCCATCGCTAAGACCTGCCTCCTCGATCGCTGGGCCCCACCTCCTCCATCGCTGCCGACGACGGGCCCAGCCACGTTCTCCGAAGCTGCTGGTTTGTCATCGACTCAGCAGCGGCTGTGAGGAGGTACGTGCTGCTGCACATGTGAAAAGGGGCGTGTTTCTCCTCACAGCCGCCAGTGACAGTGAGCAGCCTGAAATGCCATAGCGACCCAGGCGGCCCGCACGGCATCAGGGGGTTGTCCTGGCCGGGCCCCCCTGTGCCCGGGGCCCCATAGCGGCCGCCTGGGTCCTTCTAAAAATGCTAGTTGCCTGTATGTGGCTGCAATAATCTGAGTCACTGACTTGTTCCGAGTCAGTGATATTATTGATGCTATACAGGATTTATATACAGCCAACAGTTTGTGCAGCGCTTTGCAATAAAAAGGGAGACAGTACAAGTACAATACAATTCAAGATAAGATGGTTAGGGGTGCCCAGTTCGTCTGAGCCTACAATCTAAAAGGGAGGGGGCAAGTGTTACGAATGGTAATTGACTGCAAGGGGATGAGTTGATGGAAGAAATGATTGTTCAGTGGTTAGGTAGAGGTGGGATAGGCTTCCTTGAAGAGATGTGTCTTCAGGTGCTCCCTGAGAACTGACAGAGTAGGAGACAGTGGGACAGATTGGGGTAAGGAGTTCCAGAAGATGGCAGAGGCTCTGGAGAAGTCCTGGAGGTGGGCATGGGAGGAGTTGATGAGGAAGCTAGAGAGCAGGAGGCCTTGAGAGAAGTAGAGTGGATGGTTTGGGTGATGTTTAGAGACGAGGCTAGTGATGGAGCCAGGGCAGAGATGGGCAAGGCTGTGTTGTTAATATTTTGAACTTCACTCAATGGGTGATTGGAAGCCAGAGGAGGGTTTGGCACATGGGTGGCGGACACTGAGCAGTCAGTGAGGAGAAGAAGTCTGGCAGCAGCATTCATGGTAGACTGAAGGGGTGATAGTCTATGTGGAGATAAGCCAATGAGGAGGGAGTTGTAATAGTTGAGAAATAACAAGAGAGTAATAGGAGAGTATTTTGGAAATTTTACAGAGGTAATGGCAGCAAGATTTATGTCTTCTGAGACTTCTGGTGTCGTTAGTTTGTGAGGGCTCTGTATGCAGTGAAGGGAACAAGTACATCCAGGGAGGATGAGAGTGTGCTGCTGTAGACAGACGTAGCCATGCCGGGGCAGTATAGCGGTAAGATTTTCTCCTAGAGATGGTCAGTAGCAGAATAGAGAAGAGAAGAGTTAAAGTGGAGAAAGTTTTTTTTTTTTTACAGGTAATGAGTTGCTGGTTAAAGGAACAGAGGACATTGAGAGTGTAAAAACAATAAGCTTGTGATAAAATAAGGATGTGGCCATTGTGTTAGGTGAAAAGAGGAGGTTTAGGTTGAGACGTTAAGAGGTAGCTGAGGTGTTCACATTAACAGGGGTGTCACCAAGAATGATAGTGGGTATTTCAGAGGAAAGAAAGTAGGGTAGCCAGGCAGAGAAGTCCCCAAGAAAGCAAGGCACCAGTCCAGGAGGTCTATAAATCACAGCAATCCTCAGAGAAACTGGACAATGAAGATGAGTACAGTGGCAATGAAAATCCTGAACACAATAGAATAGCATGACAGCCAGGCAACTAGCATTTTCAGAATGAGAGAACAGCAACTGCCAAAGATCTAGTGACAACAGGTTTCCTTTGGGTTATATTTTTCCCTTGCCATTCTGTTGGGAAAACCTTTTAACCTTTTAATCTTTTATTTTTAAACATGTCTGATTGCTGTCCTCTAAAGTTTGTGGAGGCTCACCGGTGTGACTTTGCCCTTGACCCATCAAGCCTTCAACTGCAAAGTTCTGATCAGCAAACATACAAACAGCCAGTAACTTGACAATGCTGGTACAACAAGGTGCCTCCATCCAAAGCTTCCTAAGGAACCCTTGAACCTGGACCACACAATCTTAAGTCCTCTATTTCATGTACACTCAGAGCTCTGGCCTGCCTAGGCATTACACAATGCAATGGGGCATGAAAGCGACCTTTATACCCAAAAATCAAATTCCACCAATGCCTCCCCCTATGTATGATGATTAATAATAACATAGACATGTCAGGTGTAAAATGCTGTGATTTAGAAATACTTAAACTTGCAGAGCATTCACTTTAAAAGGGCAAAATGACTTCAGTTTGGCAAAGCAATGCACACTGGGATTGCCTTGTCATCAGCAGAGCATTGCTGGGAAATCTCATCTGTAATCTCATGAGATCTCAGGGAAAGGCATTTTCCTCCCCTGAGATGATGTGCATGGTCACATGTCCTAGTCACATGTGCCACTTTTCAGGAAGTAAAAAGAGAGCTAGTAATCTGCCCTTAGTAAACATGGCCACTGTCAGAAGACTGGGGAAGAAAAGAGAAATAAGGTATGCAAAGAATACAAAGCCTGCAATTATCTAGCAGTATGTGTTTTGTAGATTGTCATTACTAAACATTTCTAAAGGTGTATTTGTTGTTATTTTAAATATTTTTAAATTATGTTTTCAAGAAACTTTTCCCAGATGAACAAGTATGCACAGACAGCTCGTGAGGTCATAATGGACTGATGTTGGTTTGATATGTTTGAGAATGAGTCAGTTTCACTTCACAATGAGCCATGATACTTACCTACCCCTAAGGCAGGGGTAGCAAAACTCTGGCCCTCCAGCTGTAGTGGAACTACAAATCCCATGAGGCATTGCAAGATTCTCACAGACATGACTCCCGAAGAGAGATGCATCATGGGATTTGTAGTTTCACCACAGCTGGAGGGCCGGAGTTTGGCCACCTCTGCCCTAAGGCCTATGTAGGCTCTTTGAGCCCCTACAACCATGTACCAATACTAGTTGCCTTGCTGGTAAACCACTTTTAAGTAACTAATGTCCAAAGAATATGCAGCTCTAGAAAGTCAGGGAAGCATCAGAAGTCCTTATCTACATACTTGTTCTAGGTCAGAGGGCCCATTCATACTTAAATATTCCATTGTGGTGTATTAATGCCCATGTATAAATGTAGATTGTGTCGAGACAGTCCATTCATTGTGAATGGGTTGACAGTGCTTAAGAGGGGGGGGGGTCAAAAACATGCATGTCCTCTACTGTACAATGCTCTAGGGTGCCATTTACAAAAAATGGCACCACAATGCACTGCACATAGAGAAGGTGTACTGCCATGTGTTTTGATGACACACATTAACATGAGCGTTGCCACAATGGACGAGTGTCAAAGGGTCTTAAAAATTAAAAGGAAAGCTCAACATGTTAATCAAACAATTTGAATTTCGGAAAGAAAACAATGGCAGCCATCATACTTTTTACGACAGGTCTCCTTCCACAGCTTCATGATTTCATCCTAGTATACAGTGTGCAAGGTCCTGCAGTGGTCAGGTAAGAACTGACTTGTCTTCACTATTCAGATCAGGGTACAAATCAAGAGCAGCCTAGATGTAAAATGTAGGTCTATCCCTTGGAACAAAGGGGAATTTGCCCCTTGGGCCAATACTAATGATTTACGTTAGGGTGGAGGCCTTAGGAGAGATACTTCTCTATCCAGACATCAGTCTAAGCAGAGTGTGCAGTCAGTGGCAGCTACTGAACAATGGGGGGAATTTATCAAAACTGGAGCAGACAAATCTGGAGCCCATGGCAACCAATTAACATCTCTCTTCAGTTTGTTCAGTTAGTCTTTGAGAATGAAAGAAAGAAGCTGATTGGTTGCCATGCACAGCTGCTCCAGATTTTTGTCTGCTCCAGTACTGATACATTGCCCTCATTATATAGTTATCTTATCTGCGTCTGGTTGCAGCACTTAGATGTCATGTGACCGAATGCCAAGTATCGGCAAGGAAACCAGTGGTGGAAAATGTGAGCAGTTGATATCCAATAAACCATAACCTTTAGGATCGGCTCTCTTTTACTATGCCCACCTTCTTTAGCCCCCGGACATCTGTCCCCTACAATAAAAGGGGCAGATGGTTGTATTTGGTCCTCCAGGCCAAAGGTCCCCAGTCTTCACTGGGACTGCTGACAGCTATGTAAGGATGGGAAGAAGTGGTGGAGAGAGAGAGTGACAACAGATGACGATGACAGTGAGGACATGGAAGGCAGTGAGGACATGGAAGGCAGGTGATCAGCACTCACATTTTGGTAGGGCCCCTGTAGGAAACGATGATGGACGTATCTCTCCACCAGGCTGGTCTTCCCCACAGACTCCTTGCCCAGCATCACCACCTTGCAATCCACCCGCTGCCCGCTCATGGTGCACTGCTACTACTACCACTGGGCGGAATGAGACGATGATGAGCCAGCAGTGGCAACGTCATCTGCCAGACAAAGCACACAGAGAATCATCACCTGTCAGGCCCGGCCATACAGGCTCACATGGCACATCGGCCTGTCACCTGCGCACACACAGCCCCTCCCTCCTTCGGTCATTGCTCACCCCTTCGTCTCTTCCATGTTCTCCGCTGTCCTCACTCTCTATGACCACCCGTGGTCTGTCACTGTTCAACGCTGACCCCGCCTACAAGCTCCTGGCCACACCTATTGCATAATCGCTAGCCCTTCTGGAGCACGCCTCCTGGCCACACCTATCGCTAGCCCTTCTGGAGCACGCCTATCCCGGCATGAGCCACGCCCACTGCATCAGCCATGCCCGCCCCCCCAATCTAACCCCGCCTTTCGCTGAGTCACTGGGGGCGATACAGAATGTGATTCCGGAAACGGCGGCCAAGTTCTTGTCACATGACGCGTAAACGTGCGTTGGCTGCCGGAAGTTACGGGCGTCCTGTAGCATCCTCATGGCGGCTAGAAAAAGATAACTCCCTGCATGGAGCGGGTAAGACGGGGCTGTGTAGTGTACCGTACAGTGCTAATGACATTTCACGTTGTATCACATAGTGTGACATGACTTTGGACACGTGTTCAGCCATTCATAAACCAGGCTGACAGCTTTCCGTTACAAGCTGTCACACCTCAAGGACAGTGTCCGGGTGTGAAGAGAACCTGTCATGTCAGCTATGGATAATGGTGAAAGGACATGGTTGCTGATGAAGCATGTTGGGCAGTGATTAGTACGTTCGCCGTGTGGCTGTTTCTTGGTTTTCTATCACACTACGTGTATAATATTTGTGTGTTTGCTCTGGGGTCTCCCATTTTCCCCTGCAATGTGTACAAAGAAATCCTATTGGTATGTTGATTGTTCTCTACGTAGACTTGGCCCTGTTGTGGGACATTGGACTGGGAGTCCCTGCAGGGGACCAGACTATATAAATATAATAAATGGGTATTATTATCAAACTGTTCTCTTCTGAGCAAATGTAAACCCTATCCATGAGTGTGTCCTGGCCTCCTTATAGCTAGTGTACACATTCATTGCTGGTTTACTGTTGATGAGTGTTTGAAAGATGTAAAGTAGTGTTGTGTTTAGATTCTGATTGGGATCATACACAGCAATCTCCTGTATGACACGAAAAGAAACACCTATACCTATATGTGTATATCCCTTCAGAGATCCTGCAAGTACAGAAAATACCTGTTGATCTGTCAGAAATGAATTACTAAACTACTACTCTCTCTGAGGGGAATATATTAAATCTGGAACTGCTGTGTGTGGCAACAAATCTCTTTCATTTTCAAATCTTAACTGAACAAACTGAAGAGAGAAGCTCCAGATTTTGTCTGCTCCAGTTTTCATAAATTCCTCAGCCTGAGATTGCGCAGAAAGTGTGTTGAGGACACAGGGCAGCTCTGAATTTCTGACAAGGTCGAAAGGTTTTATTTGCACATATAAAACCTTCTTCCAGTGTTTTATTTAACAGACCAAAGTAGAGCAAATGAGAGAAGTGTGAGTTCACCTATACTTTAAAGCCCGCACTGCACAAGGGTTAAGTGCTCATTTTGTGGAGAGGGTGAAAATAAAAGAAATACGTATCTGATCCTTAGTCCCGCCTGGCTGCTAGACCGGTGTCTGCAGTCTCTTTTTTTTTTTTCCCGGATCCCAGCGCTCCGAGGACCCGTGACGTCATCACATCTTATACAGGTCTAATAGATGTGAGGACCCTGAGGGACATACCACAGCCAGAGCAGAGGTGAGAGCTCTCTGCCACAGGACAGAGGATTAGCTGAGTATTTCTTCTTTATTTCTGCCCCTAGGCAAAAACGAGCAGTAGCCCACTGCAAGGGGTAATATTTCAAGCTCCTGGAATTCTTTAAAGCCCATTTCCGACTTCTTCAACTTCTCTTACTTAGACCTCTATGGACTCCACTGCATACATTCTTCAATCTCTTAATGCTGTTTAGTATTTGTAGTGGCATAGGCACAGCTGCCCACATGAGATGAGAATGCTGTTGTCTCAGATTGACTAAATCAGTCATTGTCAGCCTATAGGGTATAGGGGACATAAACTCTGGACCCTGACAGCTCCAAAGGGCTGAATAATATTTAAAGGAGAACTATGGGGTAGGGCTTTTCCCCATAGTTCTCCTGAGAGTCACGGGAGGACACAAACTAGCGTCCTCCTGTCACCCAAAGCTCAGTATATTGCGAGCTACAGCTCGCGGTATACTGAGACGCTGCAGCCGGGACGGATCACGACATTACTGTCGAGATCCACCCAGCTGCGTGACTGACAGCTGACTCTGCCTATCTAGAGGCAGAGACAGTTGTACCCGCTCCTCCCCCGTCTGTTCCGCCAGTCAGCGCTGGAGGACCGGGGGGGGGGG